TTATCAGGCAAAATCCAATTAATAGTAGGAGCATGTGGGTACTTAGTGATTTAGGAAAGGTTATCACAGTATCAACTTCGCTACAATCTGCAACTTGGACCAGCGTTTTATATGGGTAAGCGCAAGCTTTCCGGAAAGAGCTCATGATACTAGAGTAAGTGAGAGGATTATTCCTATGCCCTCAAAGGCAGCGTCCCACCAAACGGGGGTACCTGGCTCTCGTAATGATGTAATAGCAGACCCCCTACCTAAGCGATGACTGAAGTTCGGAGCGAGAAAGGGGGTCTACCAGGCCTGAAATTTGTTCCGAAAATGGGCGGAATCTTACGGTAGGCTCGGGCGGGTGCGAGGTGCATGCAAGGTAGAGACGCAGAGTTGTTGCGGGTCCCTGCGCTCATGATGTGTGCGCTATACTCACTCTGGCCCTGCAAATCGATATTGCCGTGTGGGCGGCGTTCGGCCCTACCGTAAGATTCGGCCCACTTTCGGAGCAAATTTCAGGCTTGGTAGACCCCTTTTTCGCTCCGAACTTCAGCCATCGCTTAAGTAGGGGGTCTACTATCACATCATTACGAGAGCCAGATACCCCCAGCCTGGTGGGACACTGCCTTCAAGGGTCGGGCATACCTCACGCGATTTCAGCGCGACACGATTTGGCAGTTCGCCAATTCTTCAGATTTAAAGTGGCATATTGCACATGCATAGTGTGTATAACTTACATTGAAATAAAGTGCCTTATCTTCTGTACATTTGAAAAGTGCGTACAATGAGTCATGGACACTTGGGATATTGCCAAATCGCGTCGCGACTGAAATCGCGTGAAGTATGGCTGGCCCTTTATTCGTAGTGCCCTTTACAGGTTACTACCGGGAAGAAAAGGGGAACATTACTTGAGGACAAGACGGACGTTCCGAATGCGGGAGAAGGTGCCAAGATGCGCAGATCCATCATAGAAACCTACTTTGCCACCTAGAAACGGACATCATTTTTACCTAATCAACACAGGTACAAGGTTAATTATATCGTCTTCTCTATTCACTACATTCGCAACTGAAAAAGTTTTGGGGTGAATGACTGCTATCACTCTATGCAGTCCATCAGCTGACTATAAAAAAAGCTCGGTTATCCTCTTGATTTAGATGAAGTTGTCGCACATAGTTGCTCATATATCATACTACCATTTACTTTACTACGCATATACTATATGCCTACATACTTCTTCATAGAAGTTCATGTATCGCATTTTTGCATAAGCGGAATGTTTTTCTTCTTGTAAATTTTGCGGTCACATCACTTACTAGCTGGTTTTCCCGGTCTAGCCCGGGTTACGTCAGCTGACCCTTGCTCCAGCCCTCCCCCATCCCCTCCCCCTCCCCCGCCTACCTTCCCACCTAGCCATAATGCCGCGCTGCAAGGGGTTCCTGTATCAAAGTAACTTATCCGGTGTAGGCTCATCTTGAATTATAGTATCCTACCTAATGCGAAAATGGAATGAAATCTACCGCTATTGCTTAAACGAAATCATGGAATACTTGTTAGCCTATGTTGAGAACTCATTCTTATGCGGAAAACCATCAATAGAATGGCCCAGCGAATCGCCGCAAAAGTAGCGCTAAACCACCTCCGGGGTCGAATACATATGTGTGCAAAGTTTCAGCTGGATCGGTTCATTGGTGGACGTTTCCATAACCAACCAACAACTAGAGAGCACACTTACAAAGTTTGAGTTATATATTTATATATTGGGTCGTTTCAAAAGTAATTTCGCTTTTTTCAAACGGGCACCACATTTGACGGAATAAAGGTTTCCAAGAGATCTTTGAAGCAATCGATGCAGAACTTCATTCTCTTTCTAACGGTTATGAAAATGTTACAAAACAGTCAATGGGCTTTCAGAAAATAACCAAAATTTGAGACCCATGCCTTTTGAGATAGTCAAGTTTTGCAATTTTTTAAAAATTTCATATCAATTCCCAGAAGGAGTTTAAGTAACGATTCGACAGAGTAAACCTTATAGAATACAGTACTACTTTTTTCTGCTTTCCATAGCTTGTCGTGCATTTTTGACAGAATTTTAACTGATGCTACCGACTTCCATACTTGGGCAACTAAATCCTCGTAGAATATCAAAGAAGACAGCTCGCGCAGTGTTCGATACAGCATTTTCTCCTCCTTCTGACAGGTGTTTTTTGTTTCCGATTCGTTTAGTTTCCGGGCAGAAATCATCATGACTCATTTTTTTAACGAGCCCCAGGCTGTACCCGAAAAACCCGTTTGATATTTCGAATCCGTATACTCTCACTTGCATTGTGAAACCGATATTTAGTCATAAACCATCTTGGAAGTTTTAAATTCCGAATAATCACCGTTGTTTGACGCGATTATGGCTGACGTAGGCCTGCCAAAATCCGATGGTTTTCTTGAAAAATCTTTTGAAAAATTATGGCGAGCTAGGAAAAGGGGAAAAAGTAGTACTGTATTCTATAAGGTTTACTCTGTCGAATCGTTACTTAAATTCATTCTGAGGATCGACATGAAAGTTTTAAAAAATTGTGAAACTTGACTATCTCAAAAAGCATGGGTCGCAAATTTTGGTTATTTTCTGAAAGCTCATTGACTGTTTTGCAACAGTTTCATAACCATTAGAAAGAGAATAAAATTCTGCATCGAATGCTTTTAAGATCTCTTAGAAACCTTGGTTCGATTAAATGTGGCGCCCGTTTGAAAAAAGCGAAATTACTTTTGAAACGACCTAATATATTAGGTGGGTGCAAAAGTTTTGTCAGTTTCTTCAATCCACCTCCAAACACGATAGAATGAAGATAAACAAACACTTCAAAAAGTATCCGATGCAGAATTTCTTCCTCTTTCCAGCTGCTCAACATACATTGTGTTGCGTTGAGAGAGTGATGAGATATTTGCTGGAAATTACAACCACTCGTTTTTACCATGTCCACCTTTCGCTAATTTTCAAAATTTTTATATGAGACTTTCGGAGGAGTCCTAATAATCAGCAGATAGGGCAAACCTTTTGCCAACCGATGCAATTTTTTATGGCCCTATTGCTTGTCTTTCAGAATTTCTACGATTTATTTTTTGAGGTGACCAAATTTTACATTCAGCCTACTTTAACTTCGTAGAACATAAAATGTTGAACACTTCAGTCACCATTCGATGCAAATTCTTCTCCTTTCTAACACTTGTCTTTTCTTGGCGAGACAGCGAAATTTGTGGGGAAAATCGCAGTATTTCTCAATTTAGTAGTGCGCACTGACGCAACCTGTGTTTCAAAATCTTCGTGTTTGAGGCGAAAATCGCTCATTTACTTTGTAATGGTAGCGGTAATAATAATCGAGTGTTGAAACCTCAGTATTCTGTAGTTTTTGCAGTGTTTGGTGTAACAACAGGTTACGCGATTTTTCCAAAACATAAGACTCTTGAAAAATTATTTGGCAAAATTCTGAAAAAGAAGCTGAAAAAAAAGCAGAAAGTTGCTCAAGTTGGCAACAGGTTTGCCCTATCTGATGGTTGTTAGGGCTCCTCCAAAATTCTCATACAGTAAATTTAAAAATTAGCGAAAGTTGGACATGGTAAAAACAAGTGGTTGTAATTTCTAGCAAATATCTCATCACTCTCTCAACGAAACACAATGTAAGTTTAGCAGCTGGAAAGAGGAAGAAATTCTGCACCGGATACTTCTTGAAATGTTTGTTTATCTTCATTCTCTCGTGTTTGGCGGTGGATTGAAAAACTGACAAAACTTTTGCACCTACCTAATATATTAGGCTGGCACGGAAGTTCTTGCGTAATTCAAACAAAATTCAATAACTTTTCAAAGACTAAACCTAAATTCACAATCTTGCATGCTAAAAATATTAGAAGCCTTACGCTTCATGATGATGTATAAGCACAAGATTCCTTGCGCTGGACATCAAGAACGAAGCTCTCGAATATGGGGCTTCAAGTTTTGCGATTTTGAGTTTGGTGGCAGAAAATCGCAGAGTGCCGCTAGCTAGCCGAAAAAAAATCTGTAGAATCTACTTATACAACAAAAGTCCATATGTTACTTTGGAAGGCTTTGATCTTGCACGGTGAAGCAAAAACAAAAAATTCGTGAAATATGTCATTTTGCGGAAAAAATCCCGCGCTTTGTCAAGCGATGACCAAGGTTGCCGGATGATGCGCTTGAGCTCACTTTTTCTAGTTTTAAGTTTTGATCCAAATGAGCTTGTAAGAATTTTCGTGGTCAAAGGGAATTGAGCGCCAACGTACATGCAGGCCGAGTGTGGCGCACGAATAGCCTATTTTCCGGAGTATAGGGAGCATTTTTGTGCGCCGCGCGCGTATTTGCGACGACGCGGACGATATCCGACACCGTAGAGGCAGCTAGGCACTAATTCAGCAACACTTTTGCGGTCGACCTCCGCTGAATTTCTAGCTATGAGTTGTTAGGAAGTATACCACTTTATTTCTTATCTGTCAGTACTACAAGACGAAAGTCGCACTACACGAACACCCTAACCGCTGATACCTTCCGAGCTTATGTATCAGGCTACCGCTGAAATCGTTTATGTCTCTACATCTGTCTTCAAGTTTTTTCTGCGTATATTCGATATTAATATCGTCTAACATCTCGAAAATTCTGGGGCACCCACTCGACAATCAATTTTACGTGAAGTTCGAATAACTAAACCTATTGCTGAACCTTGAGTGCAATCCAAGGTACACCTTTGCGCTAACATTCGCGCTGCAAGTGCGCCTTATACATAGATGAACTCCGGAGACAGGGTATTTTGCTAGAGGTAATGTAGTCCAACCGGCGATTATGTACGGAGGTGTAAGAATGCAAGCGTCTGTCATGAAAATACATCAAAGACATTGGCAACCTCGGCAAGCAACATACTGAGCATCGCAACCGGCAGCACCAACGCCCCACCCAGTGAATGCTGAATATGAACAACTTTTACTCATATCCATGAAAGTGACATGATGCTACAAAATGTTACAAATTTTATTTAATGATAGTCTACGAAAACAGCTTCATTTCATTCTTTTGAGTTCACGATGCCAACATGGTCATGTTACTGCTAGCCGAGCTGTAGCGGGAACTCTTTGATGGAGGGACTCATCATTTAGTCGCCTCTGTCTAAATGATCGTTTCGCCGATGCTGCTCTTTTAGTCGATTCGGACGGCTCCATTTTCAGGCTTGCCACTTTTTCTAATGTATCGTCTTGATCAGATTTTTCCTGCAATTCAATCACTTTAATTCACGTCAGTAACTGAATCATTTTTTACCTGGTAGAAACCTTCAGCTATCTTTTGTCTTTTCTCCCGCTCCAACTCGTCCTTGTGTCGTTGTTTTGCACTGGGTGTAGGTTCTGCTACTTCTGGATATGGCAAAAATTCTTGTTTCTTGTCGTCGTCACTGCTCGGCTGAGTCTTCTTGCCAATGCCAGGTTTGAGGCTATCTCTTTGCCTAGGAGTTGCAGGCGTGCTCATCCGACGAGGGGTCACAGCTTGGGAACTCTTCGGTGCGTAAGAATCTTGCATTCTCTGAAAGTGGAATGTTCTTGAAAGTTCGGAGTTAGTGCTTGTCCTACCCTCGACGTTCGGCGCGAATCCACCCCGGCTACCTTTCTGTTCTTTCCGCAGCATTGTATGAGACTTTTGATGATAGTAAAGAAGATCGTTATGTGCAGTAGTATCTTCTGAAAGCAGAATCCACTGAGTCGTGTTCAGGACGCCGAAGGATGCTAACCGTGACTGTAGTTAAGGTGAAGGCAAATAGCATCCTTGATATCTCTATTGCCGGCAGTCACTGGTAAAATGCGGTAGAAAATGGAAACTACTTGGATTAAGCTTGTTGATATAGCTAATAATAAACTAAAAAATATCAATAAAAATGAGAAACAGCATATCAAGCTCACTGCATTACGACGCTGTATGATGCTGCTTTTGACTTGACCTTTTTAGTTTTGAGCTTCGAAGACTATCTTGACTTTATATCATCCAAACTGACTCTCTTTGAAATTGGGTTGATTGAAGAATTCTTCGAAGCAATAATATCTTCGAATTCACTCGCCTAGGCTTGTAAACTTCCATTTAAGGAGCGAAAAATCGAAATGTGGAATTTTTTAGAATTAAAGAGTGGAGAGTCATTTGAACGGAGAAGAGTAGGGGTCATTTTAAGTTTACGAAAGTTAGTGAAGAAGCAGCAATAGTTCCCCCCCCCCCCCATCTCTTGCACTGAGAATAACTCAGTTTTTGCAAGTAGCTCATGAGTTAGCTATGCAAATATTTTCAAATGTTGGTAATCAATATATTTTCATAAAGTTTATGGAAAGTTATTTTAGCTTGTATTGCTGCCACGCTGTCTTCCTACACATTCAGTGGGACCTTACAAAGAAAATTCCAAAGCATCATAGGAAATTTTTAGCTAAAATTACCCCTTTTCATCCATAAGCTTTTATTCGTAATAGCCACTTCGCGTGTCAAGTTTGCAATTTGCAAAATATGCCCTTTTGTTGAGAACCTGCCATCTTTCGTGGTACATACACATCTTTTGTGGCATACTTACAAAGAAAACTCTCTGAGTAAACTGACAGTGACCTTTTTATTTGAACATTCTGGAAACCTCAGGAAAAGGTCAAGAAAAGAACCTTCGTCTCATGCAATATAAAAAGGGTTGGTGCGCTGCGTTTGACAATTTCGCTTTATTTTTCGCTCAGCATTTAAAGTACATTGGTGTTTACTGTAAGTTTATCTAGACACGTTTTTGAATGTGGATGCAACCTTATTTATTTTTTTGTAGTCAAAATGAAAGGGCGTAAAGTAGCTTTTTTCCTGGAATTGCGCTAGTTTATCTGTTTTTCTCATTGTGGTAAATTCTTTCAGGTTGATTGACTAAATAATGCATTACTTTACTGAGCTTGCGTATGTGGCACCTTATTTACCTAGTTTATTGATTTGATCGTCTGAATATTTCGGACCAAGGTGCTCCACAAAGATTGTAATAGGGCGTAACCTGGAGACGAGATAATTTTGCTTGTCGTAAAAGGGGACAAAAGTTAAACATTGTCAAAAGAAGACCTTGAATTAGGTTCATCTCGATAAAATGGATGAACAAAAAGAAAAGGTTGCAGAGGTGTCGAAAAGCATCCCGCAAGCAGACGCTGCGAAAAGTCGAAGTCCATTTCAAAAGATTAGTGAACTTGAATTGTGAAAATTCTGTCCTGGGTTTTTCCTGCTTTCAAACTCCAAGCGAGTGTTTATAGAAGATGGTAGAAAAAAGCAAGACAAACTCAAAATGAAGTTTTCAGGAACCGCGAGACTTGTCTTAACAGGTCACGCAGCGAGCAATGCCGCAGCAAAAAAGTGCCGTGCGCGTGGAGGAAACTTCTCTTCTTATAAAACTTTTCCACTTAACCAACTATTCCTACAGCGCGGAAATCCCTTGACGTGATATTTATTCGGCGTACACAAGATTTTTGAATGTAGTAGTTCTAAGAATGAAGCACTTAACCTTTTTTTTCAACTGGCGGCTGGAAGGCGGGGCTTTATGACCTGATCAAGGCCGTTCGCGCCCGCGATGCAGTCTGCGTCTCTCCTGCACGCATGCTCTCTAATTATTACCTAGCCTCAATTAGGTCACGAAGTCCCGCCTTCCAACCGCCAAGTGAGTTGGATCAAAGAGTAGATGGGATTAGAGATCTGTACATAGCAAAGTGCCCTACATTCGTAATGATTTTGGTTTTCAAGTTGTCACCCATAATTAGGAAAATTATATTGCCTTTTGCAAAATGAAACTTCATAACAAAATCCAGCTAGAACTTTCACCTATTAAAATAACGGAATTTGAATGCGTAATTCAACGAGTGCAGGATTGATCAACAGAAGGGGATTATGTCTCCGTTGCGATAAAATTGATCTGATGTAGGGGGTGTAGTGTAGTAACAGACATCACAGTGTGTGATCACCAAGCTGTTCGCATTATTTCACCGCACAGCGTTTTCATGGCATGTTTTACGAACTGCTGATAGAGAGTGGACGTCCGCCGGCGCTTATCGCTATCTCACATGAATTCCATCCGTATGTCAGTTTCCGATGTTTCAGCTACTGCCTGGTAGCTAATGGTATAATGCTTTCACTTGTTCGCCTTGAAAACGTCAATAAAGCTCTTTGAAACTTCCACTTAACCCCTTTTCCCCTTCCCCCGCCCCTCCCAAAGACACACCAGAAAAAAACGCGAATCTCTGGCTGTATTTACGCACACTAACATCCTGAAAAGCGAATTTCCACAGATGTTTCCTTAGAACTTTCTGTTCGTTTCATTGTTGCTTTGTTTCCTTCTTATTCTCCGAAATGGGCTTACAAGCAAAGCTCTAGTACTTACTCATATCTTGTTTACAAACGGAAGCTCTTAATTTTGTACTGCACTTTTCTTTTCGGATTTTTAACGTTTCTATCCAGGCCGAACACTTTCGCATTTCAGTAGTATTCTCCACAGATTAATTTTATCCACTTATTCACTGAGAACTGCAAGTTGGGGTGAACGATATCTTCTTTCACTTCTTTCACTTCTTCTTCGTGATACTTGTTGACAGCTTCATCTTCAGTATCTGACAATAGTAGAATATTGATTTCTTCGAAATCACCAAATAAGTTACTGGAATATAAAGTTTTATATTCCAGTAAATTATTTGGTGATTTTCACTAAAATGAAAGAAGGAATTCCATTTGTAGGCCTTGGAAGATTTGTAGAATTCTCATACAATATCTCAATATTTATCCGTTCCATAAATAAATCGAGAACAATGTGTTCCAATAAACAAATTTGTGATAGTCAAGTAGAATTAATATTTTGGAGGTAAGGCTTCTCACAAATTTTCTATTTTCGCGATTTTCAACTTAGAAAATGTTTCTGCGGTTCTCAAGATCTTCTCAATATTTCGTCCATCCTTTTTCATGACTGACTTATTTTATCGATTTTGACGTTATTTATCAACTCTCATTTTTTTTTACTCTATAAGATTATACGGATCTATCCAGTACCTTAATCCATTTTTTCCAAAAGCAAATCACTTCTGTGACATTTAACAAGATTTGTAATATTACACTTGCATGAACTCTATCTATCGGACGTGTATGTTCGCCGTTGGAAATGTCTGACTGCGTAATTCTGGATCAAGACATTTCAAACATAAATTTGGAATTTCGCAAATGTGTGAACGGGCACTACCTTGCCTTCCACTCCATCTAAATTCTTCGTTCCAATTCTCCATGCAGAAGGAGCTCAGATTTTCCAGCTATTTCTGAAGAATTACTTTGTTTGGGACGACTGCGGAAACCTGTTATAGTGCTGATTTTTTTTTCAACATTAATTTTTACTGTATTCAACTTACGCAGAGTAAGCTGCCACTTTGAATTCAATCCCTCATCTAGAGATACATCTCTATACATACAAAACTTACCTAATTGACGAATACTTCAGTGACTTTTTTTTTCAGAAAAGCCTAATTTTTGATTTCAGTCCCTTCATTTCTGTAATCTGCGCAGTGTTGGTATCTACTATATTTCTGTTAGTGAGTACAAATCTTTTGTGCTAACATTCTCATTCATGCATCTTGATGCTAAATCGATACCGCTGCCTATTCGCACTAGTATTCCGAAAAACAGCAAGTGCAAGCTGCGGCTCGCGCTCGGCTGACACTTTTTCAGATGTGCTCACATTTTTTGTGCGTCTGTGGCGTCTTGAAATAGCTTTCGCTTCTCATAAATTCCTGCTATTCGCGTACGAAAAAATGCCCTATTCAGAAAATTGTATTGCTCTATTCAAGCTTGTCGTCTATATTTAGACTATATCTTAGAAAAACCTTGATATTACCTTCTTTATCTTTAGCACCCTGTTAAGCAGTTTTCGCAAGATCTATTTTCATAAGTTAGTCGTCTTTGTATTTGCACTTTGCATTTTACTTAAACCGCTTATGTTGCACACTATGAATATTCACGATGCGTGTCGGTACGTAAACAAAGATGATATAAACAAAAATAGTAAAAATCGTTGTTGTGTCGCCTACTCATTCAGCTCATCGTTTTTATGGGGTAGCATCAGCCTCATCGAATCCGCATCTATATCAATTATGGGAACTTGCTTTCCTATGTGTATCTTGTTTAAAACTGGATATTGATTTGTGCAAATGCCTACTATAAGTAAAATGATTGCAAAGTTGACATATATTTCACCACAAAGAATTCGCTACTTTTCCGTTATCCAGACCTATTTTTTCAGAAAGGTTTCATGAATATCATTCATTCTATGACTAAGAGAAGCGAGACCGCAATGCACACATTGTCTAAACAAGCCTAATCTTGTACTTAGCAGGTTTATACCTGTTAGTTATCTCGTTCAGGTTTATTTAGGTATTCACCCTTTGGAAACAGGGAAGAACAGATTCAAACTTGTGAAGACAATGTCCGCAATGTATTGCGTCTCCTAGTAATAGAATGGATGATACAGTCGTTTTCAATACGTATTGGTTTTTTCTACCGTATGCCTTCCAGCCTCAACATGTCGTGGATTGGTGTGGATTGGTGTGGATTGGTGCGGCGCCGCCGAGAAAACAACGCGGCGCAAACCCGAAGCGATGCGGCGCCTCACCAATCCATACCAATCCACACCAATCCACACCAATCCACACCAATCCACGTCATATTGAGGCTGGAAGGCATACGGTAGAAAAAACCAATACGTATTGAAAACAACTGTACGTGCTTCAGCTAGAATTTTTCTCGTAGATCTTGTGAGGACTGTCTGTTTGCCACGCGTCAAGATAAAAATTAACATGTATCGGGCTAGTTTGACAGGTTTTTTCTGCATTTCCGGTGAGGTACGAGAGCACTTGAAATGACTCGAAAGCTGTTCAAGGGTCTTTTAAAAAAGCAAAACAGTTCTAAATGTTTATCAAAACATCTTGGTAGCTTTCAGAAATCATTTAAAGAAATCCTGCTTTTCACACTGTTTCCATCATGCGAATTTAGCCGGAAAGAATACGAATGATGTCTTGAAGTGGCTGCCGATGTTTCGTCTGTTTAGATAACAGAACAATAGCCCAATTCTCTTTTTGGGAAAACCTGATGTTTTTCAAACAAATAATGCCATTTTCATAATGCTAAAACTTATTCTAATACTGTTGAATAAAATCGGTTTCTTACTGAAGAAAATCAGGTCGAAATAACATTGATAGGTAGGCTAAACAAACTCTTGGCAAAACCTGTTAAACATGTAGATGGCATGTCAATTTTTGGACACGTGGCAGCAGGCTGACTCTCCATTCTATGAATTTTTTACCAGATTTGGTATAAGCTCCTGCAAGACGAAGGCGGTCGGTTCTGCAACGCGGCTGCGACATGGCTGCGTCACAGCCGCGTCACAGCCACGTTGCACATCGAACCGACCGCCTTCGTCTTGCAGGAGCTTATACAAGGAGAGAAGCAATATAATTCTTTTGAAGAAATGGGTCCGGATAATGGAAAAGTATCGAAACTTCTTTTTTTTCAATTAAGGAAATGGAAAAAATTTATGTAAAGCGTAAAGCAAGATGCTCTTATGTTGGACAACACGGACTGTGCATTAGAAATAGCACAGTGTTTTACTAATTTCTTTTTGCAAGAAAATCCGCCGTTAATAGATGAACCGCCATGATTACACGGTATTTTAATCATTGGAAATTTTTATGTAAAATTAATATTTCCAGAACTTTCGCTGTTTTCTTCGACAATAATACGATGAGGTTTGAAGTGTTTTGGAATAAATCCCATGTTATGTTTGGCACTACACTCTAGCTGATCCCGGGGCTACAAAGTCTCGAGGCAATGGAACAAAGTACCTAGCTAGTTATATTCCGTACCATGGCTGTTGCTTTTTGATTTAAGTGTAATCACTAATCGGTTTTGCGTTTTTCATGTCTTCCAGAAGTCATAAGTGAGTGGAGGTGCAGAGATAATGAAGAGTGTCTGCCTGATATAAATCAAAAATTATAAGTCGGGTTGCGAAAGCTGTCTAATTGAACTATTATATATACATGCTCATTTTTTTTCGTTCCTTTGAAATCATTCAAAATAAGTGAAAGCCCCTGGTTCTACCTACAAGATAAGGAAGCTACAAAAAATTTTATGATTAGTTGTAAATCATTGAGCGTCACTTCCCTCCTAGATGTGAGAATGTCTTTTTGCAAAGTTTGTTCATTGAGAGGCACATAAGAAGATTGTACTTTTACGACTTCAGTTGATTATGTCCCTATCAGTTGCTGTTCCAAGTGCAGATTAGTCCTTTATACTTCGCTTTTTTCCTAACGGTTTTTCACCTTTGTTTCACGTATATAAGGTAGAAGCTGTTCGCTAAGGAGTGATTCCGCTCCTCACAATTAGTCGAATCTCCACAGATTTCTTGGTAGATTTTTCTGGACTGTTTCATGTCTTTTTTCTTCTCTTCTGACATCTCTTACTGTTATGTAAACAGAATTATCAGTGCATAAAAGTTAAATATTGTAGTTTTCTGGCCTCCGGTGTTTCACTCACTACAATCTATAGTACAAGTGTACTAATGTTTCTGCATTCTTTCCTAGCGTGGTGCCCAAAGTTGGCAAGCTGATCTATCCAAAAAATTGGAATTTCTTTTTCCAGTACACACGACATTTGATCCAAAACTTTCCTAAGTTCAAATCTTTTGATTATTTATATGAAGCCATCATGCATCTCGCTATCATTAGTATGTCACTTTGCTGTATAACTGAATATTTTTCATCTACGTGGGATGTCAAACCATGTCGTCCATCTTTGAACAACTTCAAGATCAGAGCCCTTGACTTTTCCTACATTTAGGTGCTAAATTATGGCAGATGCAGAGTCAAAGGATCCCTCTCTCACTCCTAGAGAACCGCCGAAATTTTCTACATTGAAAAACGTGAGTTGCTGTTACGCTCACAAGCAAATTTGCAGATAGCTTTCATAGTGGCATTAGAATCAATTCCTTTTGAGAAATCCAATAATTACTTTTATGTGTTTTCCTACTTCCAGATATTGCTGAGTATTGTCGTTGTTGGATCTGTAGCATTCACATGGGCAATGTCAACTCAGTTTCAAAAGACAGCTCTAGTGATAGACAAGGTACGTCCACGTGGTTACACGGCTTTTGAGAACAAATTCATTTTTCACAGAATATGTCTCAAATGTCATTACAAAACAGTCAAGCCTAAACCTGACTACTACTCAGTAAATGTCAACGTTTTAAACATTAAATAACTAAATAAAATAATTAGTACTCAAACTATCAAATAAACTCCTAAATCTGTTAGTCTATTTATTTAATATTACAAATGCACTAAAATTATCATAAAACTAATAGACATCAAATAAACCATAATATTAATATTTCGAGGAAAAAATTTTTGGTCTATATGGGAAAAGGGGTGGGGCTTTTGAAAGGGGGTTCGTAAGAGTAGGCTATTTAAAAAATTCAAATTTTAAGACTGTTCTTCTTTCAATAGAAGAGCTTCTTTACTTATACTTATAAAGTCAGACAATTAAATGATGTCACTTAAAGTTATCCACTCAATCCGAATCTCAAAGGCTTTGCCCTTCATAATAGGAGTTTCCTAGAATGACAATTTGCGCTCTGAACCTATCAGTTTTCTGTGAGGACTTTATTGTATTAAGATTTCCAAGCATGCGAATTCCGAGTATTTATTGAAAAATACTTTTGTTCCTAGCACAATCCTGTAACAAGAGGTACTTGAGTTTTTTGCTGATCTAATTTGCAGTAAACTCACTGGAATATCCCAGTTCTTAAAGTAAAGGTAAACGATTGGCAAATTATAGCGGACATCACCATAAAAAAATTTTGTCGTCGTCACACGTCTTCAGTTTTATAATTTCTTCTACTTCTGTAGTTCCATCTTCCCAAAAAATATCTAGAAATCTCAATATGAGCAATCCTGATTATAAAATGATAAGGATGTTATAAGCTGCACATTTCAGGAGCACTTCTACGCTCCCTACACTATGATGTGGTTCAACACATGTTTCATGATATTATGCTATCCTGCATTCCTGCTCTACGAAATAGTTTCAAAGCGGAGCTGGCGCAAGGCTCACGAGTAAGGGTAAATTTCTTCTTTTTCCAACGAAATTTCTAACTCTCTACCCGCGACGTATCGTTCATATTTCTCAAATTTCTTCAGAGACGCCTCATCAATTTTCGGTCGTCGTGGAGTTCATCCATTCACTTTGCTTGTATGTGTGGGACCATTTCTTCTGTTTTGGATAGGAGCCAATTACACGTATTCTGCATCGCTGCTCTACATCTCGGCTAGTGTGGCTACTTCGATATCATCATGTAACGCTGCTATGGTCTACTTGCTTGCGATTCTTTTGCTGAGGGATAGATTTGTGCCGATGAAGGTATGTATTGTATTTTGTAAAGCTATTAATGTGGGGTCTTCAAAATTACTGTTCTAACCTCTTACGTGGGTACCGACAGCGAGGTCAACTATTATCCGAAGAAGGCGAACGCCGAAACGTTAGCGAATAAAGAAGTATTATCAGCCTTGGAAGTTCGCTCAGGCAAATTTACTACAACTACCTATCGCTTATATGTCAGCTCATATGAACCACCCCTAGCTGAGCAATTTAACTCTGAACTCTTGCCCAGACCATACTCGAAAATGGTGACTTTAAAAAGAGCACGGTAGTGGACGAAAGCACGGAGTCGGATCTTCCAGCCTCTAGTCAATGAGATGCCCATTCGGCAATGGCTTGGAAAGACTCCCCATTCAGTTTCCATATAGAGAGCAGTACTCAGATTTTCCTAAAAATTCTGAACTCTCTCCCAGACCTACTCGAGGGGACTGGATTGGTTCCAGAGGAAAGAAAATGCCAAATTCTAGCCCAAAACCGCTTTTGAAGAAGAATATAAATACAGAACATATTTTTGAGCGCATTTGTGACTCGATCCAGGCCACTAAAATATTTTTGTACTTTGACTTTGTTAAAACCTTCCCGAAAAGTTTTCTTACTACTACATAATTATTTCCTCATTTCAAATTTCAGCTGCTCTCCGTTGGGTTTGCAATAGCCGGTGTGGCCGTGATGTCTCTAGGAGGAAAGATGCGAATTGCATGGCAAGGCATCGCCCTGTCCGTTACTTCGGCTGCATCTGCGGCATTGTACAAGGTAAGGGTAAGATGGGTGCAAGTTTGAAGGGAAGCTATTTCAGCCCCTAACTTTGGGAGAGTAGCTAAACCAAATTCAAAGTATAATAAGAACGATTAAAGTGGAAAATTTTGCTTTCGAGTTTTCTTGCTTCTGAGGCAATGGATATTAACTACAGCGTATTTTTTTCTAACTAAACTCACATTACTAAAAGACAAATCTCTAAGGATAGCAAATGAAAACGAACTTTTGTATAACATTTTTTTTCAAAATTGATCTTCAGGTACTTTTCAAGAGACTCATGGGGAGTGCAAACCTCGGCCAGGTGTCGCTTTTCATGTCATGCCTTGGATTTTGCAATATTGTTTGCAACTGGATACCACCACTTATACTTTTGCTTACTGACAAAGAACACGTCGAAGTTGCATACATACCATGGGGACCAGTTCTCGGGGCAGCGCTGCTTTCTTTGTGTAAGTTTGTCAGCTTGTAAATTGTAATAGGTTCACATATCCTTCCAAAATTCATTTGCATCATTCTTAGGGGATTTTTTTGCTTGTTGATTTCAGTGTTCAATTTCCTTATCAACTTTGGCATTGCATTACTACATCCGCTTGTGGTCTCAGTGGGGATGCTGATGGGAATTCCTTTGAACACAGGTAAGAAGCTGCTCTTAGTTAACGGAATGTGTGCGCGGTCGCGCTGCGGCTCAACAAGGCGCCCACCGCCAGGCGATGCGTACGCAGCGCGGTTTGCTGCAATTTATGGGCAAAATATACGGCATAAACAACGTTAAAAAAGTGATTCATTTTGGGATTTTTGATTTGGTAATTTTTAGTCATCGACGTGCTGTTTCGACACGTCCCAGCAACGGCCAGCTTTATCGGCGGAACGTCACTTATTATATTTTCTTTCGTTCTCATCATACTTCCATATGAGTTGATGTGCCGAGGGAGAGCTCAGACGACCCCCGAGAAGTACGCACCTATCATACGAATGCAAGAATTACCGGATCATATCCAAGAAGTATTCAGATCTCACATTAATAACGGATCCGTGCGTCAGAATCGAAAATAGTCTGTTTGTTTTGCGGAAATCAAAATCAGAAATTATGCTAGGATTAACGATCACTTATTCTGTTATTTCTTATACAATCTCCTTATTTAGGTATTTCTACCTCTAGATTGTTGATAGGAATGATCTGATCTGTTAACAACTCCTAAAATCATGCAAGGAATCTTTACATAAGCTGTAAATATTGTAGCACCTTGCATTTGCACTATATAACTCAAGCTTTAACCACAAACTTTTTCTCGATCAGTAAGTGAGATCGAGAGAATTGCATGAATGTAACGTTTGGACAAAATTGTGTTGACATTTCCGCAATTTGTAAATGTTGTTGTTTTCTTTCCAAATGAGTTGGTGAATTTCATTATGTGTAATGGCAGATTTTTTTCTAATTGAATAGATCACGAATGGCAAATGTACAGATTTTGCATAAACTTTGTAAGTGACTTATGTGCTATTTGGATGGACCTATTTCAACTGCTGGATAGCTGTAGATTCCTTTCACGATAAGAGGTAGACGGTAAATGGGGAGTAGGAAAGAAGAGTACGAGAATACCCGACATAATCATTTTACGCATCAGTCATCATCTGCTTTGGCAAAGATTATTAAAATGGTTGCTTATAACAGCTCATGGTCGTTTGGAAAAAAAAATTTGATTCGATGATCGAATCAAGATTCGTTTGAAACATCTATGGAGTTTCTACATATACTGCTCAGGGCTTTGAAAAAATGATTTTCGTCACAGTGATATTATTATCATTATTATGATTTAGTCTTCCTTTCCTTGCCTTAGGATACAATAGAATTGTATAAGAAAGGATGAAATTGAATCTCTCATGGAAAAAACTGCGCGTATCCGTCATTGTTCAACGAGGGATTCAGCACTGAAGGATGTGGGGGTATAGCTCAGTGGTAGAGCGCTCCCTTAGCATGGGAGAGGGCTGGGGTTCAATTCCCCATACCTCCAGGACGTTTTGCCAGCGGAGGCTCCAAGAAAGACATTCGTCGATTTATTTGTACGCTTTGTCACAAAGATCAATAGCAGGTTGTAACATATTTATTTCAAATATGTTACTCAAGAAAAAATGTGGTAAACCTATCTTTCGCTGTTTACCTCGACTTTGAGGTCAGTTTGCACAATTTTGCATTTCTGCCATTATAGTGACAATTTCCATGAGAAGATCCATTGTATATGGTCTGTTATAACTACTCTTGTTGGAAATGTAAAAGTACATTCAGACTCTAGACTTTTCCAGAAAAGGTTCACACTTCACATAGCCGTCGCCATGCTTCATTACAAGAACGAATGATTATATATCGCGATTTTCTTTCGATGGAAATTGATTCAGTAAGCGAAAAAATTTTTCCAATTTCTTAGGATTCTTAGAGTGTGATATATTAACATGCTTTTGCAAATAGAGTCTGAGAAGTCACATTACCAAATACTGCATTGTATAAGTTTGTAAAGAATATGAGATAAAAACATTTAGACCAAGTTCATACTACTGGATTTACTGCATGGATTAGATTTAACACTTCAACATGAAATCAATGTGGAGACGAGTAGCACATGGAAAAAATAGAGAAGAAGAGAAATTAAAATTGAAAATAAGCATCTGTTGAACGCATAGCCCGGTGACCCAAGTCCCTTACAATGTGCCGAGAATACCCGCAGGCAAAATTACAACGAAGATACCAAAGACATCGATATGATAACTCTCCTCTCCACTGAGCTCACTCTACTACAGATCTAAGGATCTTTGTATTATGTTCATTTGTCTCAACATTCTTCTACCTATGTTTTTTTAGCAGTTGAAAAATCGTTAGTGGTTTATCTCAAGGAAAACTATTCTGGTGTTCGAATATGCAAATACTCTAAGCCTCAACTTTAATGCCGAAACAAAATATGATTCTCTGATAGAAATGTCTCAAAATCGCGCACTACAGCCAATTTTTCGCGCTTTTTTATCAATTTTTTTTAGTTTTCTTTCAGTTTTTTAGCTGTTTTTTTTGTAAAGCCAGCTCAACTGCTTGAAATAAATTTGCCGTGTAGATTCGTTGTGTTAGATGTTTTGTTTATTGATCGAAAATTTACATAGCCCATGTTTGGAACACGTTTTACAAATTTGAAAATACTGTTAGCATTTCTTTATCAGCGCCAGGAAAAGAAGAAGTTTGCACAAAAAATGCTGAAGTGTAGGCTTTTCAGAACTACACTTTTTCGGAAGAATTGCTAAAGTATTATTTTTACATTTATCCATTTTTCGAGTACTATTGTATTTTGACTTCGTAGTGAATTTTTCTGACCGTTTCCTTAGCTAAGACTTTTATCCAGATGACCTCTGTGCTAGTTATCGGTAGTGGAGGTCGCGAACATGCCATAGCTTGGCGACTTTCCAAATCGAAGCTGATCAAGAAAATTTGGATAGCGCCTGGGAACGGGGCAGACTTCCCAGCTCCAGGTATGGATGGGTAACTAAACCTGTAACATAACCAAACATACTCAGGATGTTCAGGGTAGGTCAAACGTCTTATGTGTTTAGATATCGACGAGACCAATGCAGACGACGTGGTTGCTTTCTGTCACCTTGTAGACGTTACTCTAATCATAGTGGGCCCCGAAGGGCCTCTGGCAAATGGCTTTGTGGATAGGATAGGTGGCAGAATACCAGTTTTTGGCCCCGCAAAAGCTGGTGCTATGTTGGAGGTATTACACTTAACTTTACGAAGTTTGAAGGGTGTTGGTTGATTTGGACTTCTTCAAGGCCTCGAAGATCTTCTCGAAAACTTTCATGCGCGATTTTGATCTGCCTACTGCCAGATTTGCACAATTTGATGAAATCAAAGATGCTGAGGCATTCATAGAAAAGTAAGCAGGAGTTTGGAGCAAAAATTCGTTATGATTTTTTTTCAAAACTAAACTTTACAGATGCGACTGGGAAGGAATCGTAGTGAAAGCTGATGGATTGGCAGCCGGAAAAGGGGTTGTGGTGGCTGAAAATAGGGAAGAGGCAGTGGAGGCAGCAAAACAGATGCTAAGGGTACTGTAGTTCTTGCTTCCTCTTCCAAAGTGTGTTCAGACTACAAATATGTGGCGAAAATTTCAGGGTCAGTTTGGTACGAGCAGCACCCGAATATTACTCGAAGAACGACTAGAGGGCTTCGAAGTGTCGGTGAAGACGCTCTCCTTTCGATTTTTGATTTTTGTGGCAACTTTCATCCCTTATTGGGTAAAAATGCAGCTTATTTTAGGCACTTTGCTTCACCGATGGAACCACGATAGCTCGCATGCCTTTGATTCGTGACCACAAGAGACTTCTTGACGGGGATAAAGGACCAAATACAGGTGCGCTTTGCGAGAGGTGCAATTTTGGATACAAAATAATAAGAAATAAAAAAGAGCCAAACTAAGATATGGTTTTTTGTAGGTGGAATGGGCGTCATTGGTCCGGTTAGTGTAGCAAGTACGGTAGATCAGCAGATCGATAAAATACTACAGGATACGGTAGCTGCTCTGCGTAAAAAAGGGATCATATACAAAGGTAGTACAATCGTCAATTATATCATAACTTGCAAAATAAATAAAACATTTTTCCCTCATTCACAATTTTTATACCCTACCTCCCCTATCCCCACCAATTCTGACTATTTCATCCCAAATTTTTCCATTCAGGAGTGATCTACGCTGGAATTATGGTAACCGCCGATGGTCCAAAATTACTGGAATACAACTGTAGATTCGGTGATCCAGAAACAGAGGTAGGAAAACTCACTTTAGAACAGATTTTTTTATTACCCGGTAAACGAAGAGCCTTTACTTCTTTCTGCTGTTCTTTCTGTCCGCTTTTCATTCAAGCAAATCCATAATTTTAGATAATCATGCGACTACTCAAATCTGACTTGTACTCTATTTGCCTATCCTGCACAAATGGCACCCTTTCCGAGCAACGTATTGAATGGGACCATCGTCAAGCATGTGGAATCGTTCTGGCAAGCAAGAATTACCCCTATAGTGGGGACAAAGGAACACCAGTAGGTGGGTAGCAAAGATACCTTAGAGTCAGGAAAACCCCTGCCCAATCATTACCCCTCTCATCCTGCTTCTCTTTCCTGGAACAGATTATAAATAGTGCAAACGTTATGAGCCACACAACTTTCTGTAAAGCTACAGAAAATCAGGCCGGCATCCTCGGCACTAACGATTCATTTGCATTCCTCAGCATCCTCGACCATTAACGATCCATTTGTCTTCCTCGGCATCTTCAGCCATTCAGTCACTAACGATCCATCGGTATTCCTCGGCATCCTCGACCATTAACGATCCATTTGTGTTCTTCGGCATCCTCGGCCACTAACGATTCATTTGTATTCCTCGGCATCGAATATGCATGGTATATAAGTCGAGGGAGAATTCAGTTTTTTGGGCTGATCGCTCTATGCAATAAACGTTTCGTCGTTGTCTTCGCCTATTCAGCTCAAACTGTGCTAAAAGCGCATATATATATATATATATATGCTTTTCCTTCATCACCAATCATTAACAATACAACAAAGATTTCTCGCAAAGTCATCATTTCACATTTTTTTGTTTAAAAGTCGAAACTTTTTGAACAGAAATGATGCGACTCAGAGTTTCGAAAAAAAAACTGGAATGGGTTATTCTTGGAAATTCTGTATATATTACTGATAACTGGTAAGGAAGAAAAGACTTATTACTACAGCTTCCGACTGTAATTATTAACCGTTTTATTGAAAAACAGCTCAACAGAAAGTGCCTTGAGTCGATTTTTTTTGTTTGTTCAGATGTGCGAAACAGATGCCTGAAATTTACTTGCTAAAAAGCGCATATATCGCAAGTATTAGGTTGATGCACAATTCCTGCACCAAAATAGGTATAGACCGCAATAATCCGGAATAATCCTTTATCCCAAATAGCATTCGATATATCATTAGATAGAGCAAACCTAACTCTACAAGATGGTGCTTAAAGTTTTGCAGCAGCTTTGATCCAAATGAAGATTGAAGTCAAAAACGGAAAAGATCCAAGCACCCCAAAAACCCGAGAAAAAATTGGAAGTCCGTTTAGAAAAATTCTCCAGAATTCCTAACTTGCTCATGCATCGTCATTTCGTCTAAGACATTTTTCTATGCAGTTGCTGTATTTTCCTCTCCGCTAGAAAACGAGAAACCGAAGTTTTTTGTGTTTTTTCCAATACAGTGCTGAGATGTTCTAGCACCTATAGTTGTATATTACAACTCTAGAAGCGTGTGCCTGAATTTTCAGTTTTTTAGAGCAGTTGGTTTACGAGAAATATCGAATTTTTAGCAACAAGGCAAGAAAAATTCGGATATAGAGAGCTAGATTCGATATTTCACGTGAACTAGTTCTTCTAGAAGACTGAAAATGTAAAGTTTTACTGCTAATTGCATGTATTATACTATACAACCGTTAGTGTTAGAACATCTCAGCACTAATTTGGCAAAACATGAAAAACTTCGTTTTCTCATCGTCAAGCTGAGAAAAAATACAGCAACTGCATAGATAAGTGTCTTATGTAAAACGTCTACGCGTAAGCAAGAAAGCATTTCTGTAGGAGCTTTTTTAACGGAGTTACAATTTTTTAAAAATCTGTCTTAAGGTTTTCGGACGCATGGTTTTTTTCAGTTTTTGGCTCAAAACTTCGCGTGGATCAAAGCTGGTATAGATTTTTGAGCTCTATCTTGTAGAGCTAAGTTTGCTCTATCTAATGATATATCAAATCCTGTATAAAGTTAAGAGAATTTCGGATTTTTGCGCTCTGTACCTATTTTGGTGCAGGAATTATGCATCAACCTAATATTATAATCAAAACTGGAAAAGCCTGACTTCGAAATGAAAATCTATTTGATGAAGCTTTTCAGATATTCCCGAGACCGAGGACGACACGGTCATATTCCATGCAGGAACAACAAGATCTTTGGATGGCGATGGTTCACTTTAGGCTTCAGCAAGTACAACAGAGTTATACTCTTAACCAAAAGTACTCCGTTTAGTGCTAACCAATGGTGGCCGAATCCTGTGTGTGACTTCGCTAGGCTCCACTATGGCAGAAGCGCGCGAGAAAGCACTTAAAGCTTCGGAAGCTGTGAAATTTGAAGGGAAATTTTTTCGAACAGACATCGGTATTACAAGAAATGAGTAAGTTTTACCAAGTAGATTGGTAAGGAAAATGCTAACAATGAAAATAAAAGTAAGCAAAAATTCAAAAAATAATAAATCAATATGAATACAAAATAATGAGAAGCAAAAATTTACACATATTTGATGCTTGGTGTCTCGATTCCACATTTTTCAGCACGACAACTTCGCTTAGCTATAGTGACTCTGGAGTAGACATTGCTGAAGGAAATGCTTTTGTCGAGGATATAAAGGGCCTTGTCACATCTACTCTGCGTAAAGGAACTAGACAGGTAAAATCACATTTATATCTAATCAGAAACTTTGCGATGTATATTCGTTTAGATCGGTGGATTTGGTGCGGTAGTTGACTTGGTTGCAGCTGGCTATGCAAACGGCTCTCAGCTGGTGATTGGAATTGACGGCGTTGGGACAAAAATCGAGGTATCTCTCAGCTTTGTAGGACAGAGGAATAATTCCGCCATAATTGCTTTCTTCGAGGACTACTGGTCAGCACAGGGTACAGCCAAAGCGAAAAGACCAGTTGTCCGCGAAGATGCCATCGGATGAAAGATTTTGTTCCCCTACTCGTTACAGTCACGAGTCTATAAGAACAACCAGTGCGTCACCTCTGCTTCGCAGAGGTTCGCACTGGCTCTACTATCCGTGCCTTCTTCGTGATCGCATAATAATGACTTTGAAACTCACCGCGCTATGCTGAACATCACGAATGAATTGTAAACAACCATTCATTTTTAGTGCTTTTCCATGTAAGATTGGTAATTTCAGGAGAAAAAATTTTCCCGCAGAAAAACAAATGCGATTCTGAATGGGTTACTGAATTTATTTTGGCTTTATATTCGCCATAAGGATAAACACCACTTTGGGCTACATATCTATTCAAAAATCCTCTCAATTTTTATAGAAAATTCTTGGCAAATCGACAATTTGCTCACTTACATCTTTTTGGCGCCAATTTTGTGTAAAGATTGACTTTCTGCTTACTTTTTGAGCTGAAGTCAATGTTTTTCGGATTTACTTGCTGAACAAATCCACGACTTTGCAAAAAGCCCAACTACCGACAGATTTTGGCGGACCAAAAGTCGCGCGGACCCGTTTGGCGCTCAGTTTTCACAGGTTCCACTAATCGGATCGGCTTGTGCTTTTGCACAGTTTACCTACATGCTGATAGGGTGTTATGACCAAAATTTTAGCTCAGGATCTTTGATGGAAGTCGCTCTACGAATTTCGTGACAGACAGACGTACACACAGACAGACAGACAAACAGACGTAAACACCCTTAGCCCGTTATTATTAAGTCATAGATGATAAGTAAGGAATGTAAACTTGAGTTGAAGATTCACCTAAGGAATGTAAGTGTTCTGATTAGGCTTCGGGGTAAATAAAAAGGAAATCAACAAAGTCCCTTTATAAGGACAAAGTCAGAAACAGCGAAACCCCACAAATCAATAGTCAAAAATTTTAATAAAAACTTCTGTTTTGCCTTTCGTTTTTTCTTCAACACCCACGGATATCTCTTTCAAATATTGTCGCCTTGTAAAGACGACCACCTGCTTCAGATAGCCGACATCATGGGTGACTACTCCGGTATTGGTCACGACGTTGTCGGAATGTGTGTGAACGATGTCCTCTGCCACTGTGCTGAGCCCCTGGCTTTTGTTGACTATTTTGTCAGTGGACGACTAAATCGAGCTCGTGCTCATGAGGTGGTGGCCTCTATTGCCGAAGCTTGCATAGAGTCAGGATGCAGTCTGGTTGGTAAGTGAGATTTACCAGGAACCATAACTTTCTGAGTGACAAAAAATTTTGAAGGAGGTGAGACAGCTGAGATGCCCGGCGTTTATAGTCCATCGCAGTGGGATCTGGCAGGATGTGTTGTTGCTGTTCGGGAACCAACTTGGCCGATGTTGCCTAACTCGAAAAGGTATTCTTTACCTACAATTACTGGGACGGCCCTTCTGCCGCTAGCCTTGGCAGCCTAATTACTGCGCGCCTGTGGTTGGTCGTCGCTGCGGCGGATTGGGTAAGCAAGCACTGTAAAAAATACGGTCTAAGCCGTTCAATTGTGTATCTCTTAGCCACAAATAAATCATATGGGTTGCCCTTAGGCACTTGGCAAAGACCTCTCAATCATTTTCTGACAATCAATCCAGCGTTTTTCAGAAACCACATTCAAAAATGTCAAAATTGAAAAAAAAAACAGTGTTGGCAACAGTAATGATAGGAATCAATTTTTCAGCCTACAAGAGGGAGACTGCCTCATTGGCATCGCATCCTCAGGTGTTCATTCAAACGGCTTTTCATTGGTCAGGAAGATCTTCGAAATGAATGGAATCTCATACAAAGAAAAGACACCATGGAATACCGAAAAGAGCTTTGGTAGAGTTTCTTATTTCTTCCAATGTTCTTATGAAAGAGAAGATCAGCACATTTTTTCTAAACTTTGGAAATCTGTGGAAAAGTATGAATTTATTCTTCTTTACTGCTTGGATTTAGGACAGGAACTTCTCGCACCAACTCGACTCTATGTTCGTTCTGTCCTTCCGCTACTCAAAGCTGGTCTAGTCAAGGGATGTGCCCATATAACTGGAGGAGGAATAGAGGAAAATGCGATTAGAGTATTGTATAGCAAAGGAGATTTGGCGATGGAGGTAGGTCTGGCTTCGTAGATGAACTTGGAAATTAAAGTTGAATAATTATTCCAGGTAGATGCTAGTAGTTGGGAAAAACCAGAAATATTCAACTGGCTGTCAGCAATGGGACCGGTCAATGTTGATGCAATGCTGCGAACTTTCAACTGGTAATTTAACTCACATCATAAAACATTCAAGGGCTTCTAAGTCAAAATTTGGAAAAATGCGGGCGCAGTGGCAAACCGATTAACTTTTTTACATAGCTAATATGTATTAAATCAAATCAGAAAGTACTATTAGAAAATTCATCTGCACAATTTTATATCTAATGCAGACAACCTTCAAATATCTGCCGCCCCCCCCCCCCCGTTTGCGCCTTTTTCAACTCGTCCAACCTTGCGGCCAAAAATTGGCAATGAATTTTTTTGTAGAGTTATTGTGATACTATCATCAAAAATCCTCCGCGATATTTTATCTACTCTTACCTTTTTGTTTCAGGGAAAATAATAACCTTTTAGAACAAAAGGGTGGTACCACTTGGACTGGAATGAGATGGAATTCCTCATTTTCAATTTTTTGTAAAGATTTCGGTAGAGAATGTGTGATTTCAGTGGAATTGGAATGATACTGTTGGTAGCTGCTTGCCATGCTGAAGAAATTATGGAACGTCTCGAACAAGCAAAAGAGCATGCTTATTGTATTGGGAAGGTTGTAAAAAGGATAGGAGGTGAACTTCTTCTTACAAAAAATGGGACGGTACTCTTCATTGCATAACTCCTCTAATCATACGTCCACGCAAACTGTTTATTTTGTATAAAAATCCAAGGTTGTAAACATTCACCCACTTCTTAAGTCCAGAATCGCATTTTCTGCTTAAGATCGATAGATTTGCTATGTAAGTAAGATCCACATTTCCTCCTCTAACCTATGAAATTATCAAAGCTAAGGTGAAATTAGAAAATATGCTTGTTCCAGATTCGTTCATTGCCTTTACAAACATGGGCTGTGCCTTTGATACATCGAGATATACAAGAATATCTAGGCCTAAAGTAAAGGTGAATTACAAATGACTTTGATCACTTTTACGTTTTTTTTTTTGAATTTACAATTTCAGGTCGGAATAATCATCTCAGGAACAGGAAGCAATATGAAAAAACTAATTGAGAGCTCGCAGCTGCCTGGAAGTTATTGCGAGGTAAGTCGTAATAAAACTGCTCATTTTCAGTTCAGATTTCTTGCAGGTAGTATTAGTAATTTCCAACAAATTCGGTGTGAAAGGCCTCGAGGTAGCTAGAGAATTGGGAGTAGAAACGATGTGCATTCCACATACAGAGATCAGAGAAGATGGAGACTCAAAGATCAGTAAGGTAAGAGTTGAAGAGAGAGAGGGGGGGGGGGAGGTGGGAGAGGAATTTCTAAACTGCTCATCATGGATCTTTCAGGCCTTCAAAGCTAAGAACGTCCAACTTATTTGTCTTGCTGGTTACATGAGATTACTTTCCGCCGAGTTCGTCCGAGAATGGCAAAATCGAATCATAAACATTCATCCTTCTCTTCTGCCCTCCTTTAGAGGTGATTTTTTGACAAATTGTTGGGGTATGTGACATCGTTAAGATTTGAAGAGATAATAATTTTCAGGAGCTCACGCTGTAAAAGATGCGTTGGAGTTTGGTGCAAAGATCACTGGATGCTCTGTACACTTTGTAGATGTGAGTACTTCTACGAATGGGAAACGAATTCTGTAACTTAAAGGAGAAATTAGGAAAAAACTTGATATGCGGTTGGAAATGCAAGACAAATCGACTTCATTCTTTTCAGGAAGAAGTTGATCACGGTAAACTGATAGCCCAGGCAGCAGTGATGATAGACGAAGAAGACAATGAGATGTCACTGCATAGAAAAATTCAAGAGAAAGAACATCAGCTGTTTCCGGAAGCTATGCAAAAAGTAGCTAAAGATATGTTAAATTACAAAATTGAACGGAACCCTCTCGCCAAAAAGAGCTGCTAAGGCATCATTTTGATTTTTTTGCTCATCTGAAGAAATGTAGCATAAAACCTATTGGAAGTAAGTCTATATTAGCTTATATGACATTGTAGTAGTACTAGCTCAGCAATAGAACGCGTCCTTAGCATAGAGTGAGAATAGTTGTCGAGGGGCACTGGAGATATCTGTATAAATAAAGCTGATTGTCTGTATATGTGTCTGTATGTCTACAATCTTGAAATAATTTTGAACAGGAAATAAAACTGAAAATCCATCAGAAGATTTAATCATTTTCCTGCCCGACATGACGCATTTCCTCGATATTTGAAAAATATTACGTCTAAACAATGTGTGTAACTGCTAGCATTGCGATTGCAATGCTTATCACCGCAGCAATCTTGCTGAATGTTTGAGTTTCCACGAAAAGGGCAACAGTTTGCACTTACTGAATCATGCCGATGTTCCTCTCCCTTCGAACCATTTACTCCCTTACGCTACGACGGATGCTGTTTTTCATTTTTGCTCTGAGATTGTTGTGCTGCTACAAGCATTTTTTAAAAGTCTTCATACCTCGTTATATTATTTAGTAAGGAAACTAGAACGATACTGAGGTTGAATTTACTGCTACACGAACAAAACGAACGTAAAGCCCCAACATCGGAAGAGCCAGAGCCGGTTCATTCTCCGCCTGAGCTGGGTGAAGAAATGGAGAGGAAATATAATAGAAAAAAAAAGTGTTAGTAAACTTTGGACATCCAGTGGAGCCACGCGACCACGGGATCAGAGCGAAATCAATCCGAATCAATGCATAGCTTAAAATTATGGAAGAAAAATTACCGAGTATCACAATAACGCTTTCGTTGTGAATTGAAATGAAGAGAGGCTAACATTTTCTCCTCATTTGAGAGGTAGTTTTTATGAATCGAGAAAGACCCTCTTCAGCAAACATGAAAAGGAAGTCGGGACTTTGAAAAGGTAATTGAATTCATTATATTGAAAGTATCTAGATTGTTTTCACATATCAAACATTCAATTTGGGCACGCCCCGCATTACCACAAAGCTCTGCTCTCCAGCGAATGGAAAACAGGTATTGGCAAGACAAGATGCAAGGAAAACAATTTGGAAAAGAAATGGAAAAAATGGGAGAGTACGAGGAAGTTGTATAAAAGAGAAAGAAAAATGGTAAAGATCGCTATCGCCAGAGCCAAGCGGGGTCCAGCAGCCTCCATGTCGTTTCTGCGCTGGGAACCACTATCCAGCCCAGTGCAGACAGTAAAAGACGCTGAAAGAGAGTATTGTAGAACAAGGAAATTGAAAAAGTCTGAGAGACGCTTGAAAAAGGAAACCACTTTGTGACTTCATGCCCTTCCAAGTTGCTATGCTTCTAGTGGAGGGGAAGGGCGGAATATGGAGGCAGACAAGCATCACTCGGAATTCTTCCCTCATGATTTTGACATGACGGGAAATTGAAGTAAAAATTATTGACTCGTAAAACTCGGAAAGTTCTGAATTCGAAGAATAATCTCGTGTAACTGTAATTGTAATGTAGTTGCTTGTAATAGCACGTGCAATGGAACGATTTCACTGCACGATGAGAATCTTGACTTTATGTAAATATAAGCGGTATATCTGATCACAAGTAACTGTATCATTGTAATTGCAGTTATTTGGCTCGGAATGTAACTGTAAGTTGATAGTTGATTTGATTTCCACAGATAAAAATACTGTCATAAAAGGAATTAGTTAATAACTGTGAAATTGTAATAAAAACGATTATCATTGGAAAAAGGACTATGAAAAGAGATTTTTCATGTCAAACTAGAAAAGACAGCTGCGTGCAACCTACACCATTTCTTCTGCTCCTTAGGAATCGTCAAGATACCGAGTTCTTCTTATACAGGTGTTCACACATCTTCATTTATATGACTAATATAGCTCTAGATTTGAGATTCGAGATTTTTTGGCAGTTCTGAGATTGTAGCAAAAATAACCAAAAAAGGCTGACGGGAGGAACGGCGTTTGCGCCTTGGAACAATCGCGATGTTGGGATTGTCATAATCTCTTGTTCACGATGAACAACGTCATACGGCGATAAGCCTGCGGCGAGCAATCACGCCTATAAAAACCGAATGAAATTAAGCGAAAAAGGGCTTGCTTGCTCTTTTTCTTTCATGCTAACGCCATTTGGGTAGGTACAATACGTTTCCCCTTTTTTCGGGTAATTTATCGCGAATCAGGCCGTTCCTCCAATGTGCCTATTACGACGCCGTTGGGATGCATTATTCTGGTTTGTACCCCGCGGTACAAGGCTCCATCGACAGTAGGCGCATTTTGTACGAGCAAAGCAGATGTCAAATATGCTTTATTGAAATCGTGTGCCTGGATGGTGAAGATGCCGGAGGTGGGCTAATCCATGCTACCACTGTCAAAGCTATGGCCACCACCCGTCGGTATGTAGCCTACCTGACCAAGTGTGCCCATCCTTGAGAGGCTGAGGAGGGCACGCAATGCGCTGCACAGGAAGCAAGCGCGGCTCAGATCTCTCGAGTAGGAAATGATGCACCTTCACTCAAATCATTAATGCGAGATTTTCAAGGCGGAATATCGATAACAAGAACCTCACCTAACTCTTCAAGGTGCAATTTTTCAATCACACCTTTCACGCCATTCATATAGAATGTCATCTTCACCAGCTTATGCGCTTTTTGTAGATTTCTTTTGGGTATTTTATTCTGAGCACGCCTTCAATCACTTTCAGAACACAGTCAAAAGGTTGATACTTGATAGTTGATATTCTCATCAGTTTCGGTGATGAGAAACAATGGGACAAATACTGGACGGTAGATTTTTCCGGAGTTTGCGAAATTACGGGCACATTCTCAAAATTCTGCCCACAGCCTCTATACTTGTCGTCACCGACCTCCAAGTGATCCAATCAGTGCGCTTTGTACTTGCGGATTGTGCGCCTTGTCATTGTGAATTTATTTGTAATTTATTCAAGTTCTGATTTCTCGCTGTATGCTATTAGTACAAGTTAGGCTTTGTTCAAACACTGTTCCCACGCTTATCTGGTCTAGAAATGCTTTTGATTAGCTCGCAAAATAGTTAAACATCCGTTGTATCAAGTTTACCACTGCGCCTAGCCTTTTAGCAGTATTGTGAAAACGGTATAGGTGCTGTTCTTATCTGATTACAGTGCATATAAAAGGAGATCAAATGAATCACAAGCATCGCTTGCTATATTGCCATCAGTTTCAAGTTTCCCTCAACTTATCCCCTCGCCTCAAGTGCCGCAACATCACCTTGTAAGCACTGCATATACTTGTACATAATAAATATATCGTCTAAACGTCCAAGCTACAGAAGAAGACCCGCGTGGCATCAGTTCTCAAGTCACTCACATTCAAGTAACCCTTGAACACGCAATCGTACACATGGTGCATCGACTCATCAAAAGCCCAGGTGGGTCAGAATATGCTAGAGTACTGACGAATTTAGAGAGATACTGGAATGGCGTCCTTGCCCGGAACAGCTCTGTTGCAAGTTTCGAACTAGCCTAGTAATTTTGGTTGCAAGTATCGAAACACTCACCCGCAGAAAAAAATTTGCGGTTAGGCACATCAAAAAGATTGCTAACGCGCTACTGTAACAAGCTAAAAAGCATCATCGCGCACCTTAAATGGAAAAGTTGGAGACGTTAGCGGCCACCCAGAACGAGGACACAGGTGCTGATAATCTGCGGCAACTCAATGAGGGAATAGGGGCAATCACGCATCTACGGAGAAAATCGAACAACTCTTAAGGGAATACGCTACAAATGTGTTGAGCCTTCAGGGTTTGGAAGCAAAAGAATTGAGTAGTTTCGAGGAGTACTTCGCTAAAGCAGAAGAAGTTCTGATCTCTGCATTCGACTACTTAGTACTGCTACAATCACAAAGGCAAGAGTAGAACGATGCACAACTCGCTCAAAGGAAACAACCAATTTGACGCTAGAACCGGCTGGAAACACTCCTCAGAGTCTTCAACTACCATACAGAATAAGCAAACTTGCATTACCCTCCCCATATTCCGAGAGAACATCTGGGAATGGGACAATTTTTGCGAGTTGTTCAACACCAATGTTCACTCTCAACAACTACCCGACCTCTACAAATTCAAGTACCTGAAGCATGTAGTTCGCGGGAAAGCCTATCGAGCAATCGGAAAATTTTAAGTAACAGCTGATAATTACTCAAAAGCAATTCAGTTTCTTCAGCACAAGTATGGTAATACGCAGGAATCGATTGCACGATTGCTTGAAAAGCTTGAAAAGGAATCATACAATCGCGCACAATACTGTTGTTCACGAGTATTCTCGTTCTTTTCTTTTCCTTGGTTGTAGAGAGCAGTACAGGGCGATCTCTAAATCCGAAATATATGTTTCTTTGGAGCGCGTATTGTCATCTTTTCCGATTGCGTTGAAAATGAATATAGCGAACCTGAGTGTCACTGTAAACGCGTTTTTCCAATTTGAGATTGTAGTGTAAGGGAGAATAGCTGTAATACGGTTGTTTACAGAAGAGAGCGTCGCAGTCGGAGAAGCTGAGATCGAGCGCGGGCAATTTAAGGAGGAGAGAAGGAGCAAGCGAGGGGATGCCACCATCTGGAAAGCGGTACGCTCACCGACGGGCAGTCGACCTCTGCTGCTCATCACACGGATTTACATCTTTTACGTCAAAAAATCTGACTTTCTATTATTCGTTTACCTTCCTAATAAACAATTATTCTTTATGTGTTCTGCTACGGCAAATGAGGGCCCAACACTTACTGGTAGCAGCGAGTGGTTACGATCCACCGACCTCTGGATTATGGGCCCAGCACGCTTCACTGCGGTAAGGTACACCGCGACATATTATACCTCTTTATCCTCACTTTTTACGTTCACGTTTTACCTCAGCGTGTCGTCAATCCGCACTAATGCATTAATTTCTGTTTTCGTTTCTACAATCAATATGCGCCCGCTTATGGTCATCATCGCGTCCTCCATATCGGCATCCAACTCAGGTTTATCGTTTCAGATAGCGCTCACTGCTCAAAACGCTCGCGACTGTTAATGTTTCCATTCCTATTCCATTGTTCGTCCAGCGAATCTTCAAATTCGGCGAACAAGCCTCGGGAAGGCACGTCCAGTGACAGTCCCCAGGGCAGCCATGAAATGGCAACTACCGACACAAACGTAGCAACGGCAGTCAAAACCTCGCGAACACCATTATTCGCATCGGACGAGCTGCTAGCCAGTGATCCAGAAGTTCAAGCTTGGTGTGAGTCACCAGTCAACATGGATACTTCCTTAGCAATACCTACAAGTTCTAACTTTGGCAATTTAGGTAATACTCCTATCCAGCCACGTAGTGGCAATCCACAGACAACATCCGCCCCCTCGACGTCACCTCAACACCTACCTGTCGGCCCAGACATACAAGCCACAAATGAGTCCTCACGCATTATAGATACAACTACGCTTACATCAGCATTCTCTAGTTCGTGCGACATTACAGGTAAACAATCACTTCTGCCACGTAGTGGCACTCCACCGACAATACCGTTCCCACAGCAATCAGTGGAACTTCCCTCTACATCACGAGCTCAACCCACTCCGCCTAACCCTCCACCGCCCAGACAGCCTCCAAAGGGCCAACACCTTATCAATCGATCGCCACAGGTAGGCGAACACATTAGAAAACGTCGTTATCCGTCATCACGTAGATAAAAGTCGTCTAAGCGCTCTGCTAGAGGGCCTGCACAAGCCGAATGGCTACAACGACGAACCCCAGATGACTACTGGCATTATCTAATGGACATGCACCCATGGGCACGCCTCGTCAAACCACAGCCACTTCGTCGCGAAGACCTCACCGAAGCTCAGATCTCCAATTTCCTGCAGGAGAACACATACAGACAGGTTCCTCACCTTGGCTGCATGTCATCATCTTTTGTACGCTCATTGTTTCCCCGAGTACCACCAGACATGAAACAAGTATCAACGACTCTACCCTTCATCGAGTTTTCAACCCTCGAAGACGCCATTATCTTCCGAGATAAATCATAGAGAATGTTAGAAACGACTCTGCGGGGTGATGCGTAACCCGTACCCCAGGAACGGGCAAAAGCCCCCAAAGGAGTGCGATCATCGATCCTTTTACCACCCAAACTAAAGGGCAGTTATCCGGCGTTTTATCAAGTTGCAGGCCATCGCATCAAACAACCTCGTTTTGGAAGCCAAGGACTTCTTCGTCTTTATGCCGGACCGTCGCGAACTACACTGCATCCTATTGAACCAGTTCTCCTTCAACATCGAGAACAACGCGTACGGTTATGACAAAGCTTTAGTCTCGATGAAGGACTTCGTATGGGTCTATGATGTTTCTCCTACCATAACGGCACTGCTTTCCCCCGCACGATGTCTCCAACTCGCTAGAGAACCACGCACGGCAGCCCTAGAAATCAATTCCGCGTTCTTCTTCCGAGCGGGTATTTTCGCCTTCGTCACTCCAGCCGTCTGGTCGGAACGCCACAGCGCAGTCGTACTGGACCTCGCCCGTAGAGGCGAATTTCTAGACACTGTTAACAACTTCAAGCTGGCCATCGAGGGAGCAGGTGAAGCAGTAACAATCACAAAGCCTCTGTGTAAGTTCGAGTGACCGCAGGTCCAAGAAGACGAGATCCTCTTCACTCAAAGTCGACGTCATGTATCCTCTGCAGTACGCTTCTCGGAACCCTCAGCATCACTGACGGCACGAGACTGGTTGTGCAGACGAGTAGAGTACTTCTTCCCCGAGTATCCGGATGAGGGTATGGCTCCACTGGCAGTCATGAAGGCCCAAGATGATGATGCGAATGGTTTTGCGACAGAACGGGACCGTTCAACAATCTGATCGACAAACATGACCAGGCCATCAGACGGATGGGCAAGGTTACAGCATGGCTTGTGCGCTCTGGCCGCCTACACCACAATGTATGATGACCACAGGACTCACAGAGTAACCGGCACCGCTCCATCACTCACGTCCTATCCTCTGCAAATAGAGATCACCCTGTCGGATATGTCGTCAGAAACTGGATTGACAAAGCACCGACCTGTTTCCGTATGGATCAGAGGCGCAGGACGATACACCAAGGTCGAAATCGAGGAGGCCACATTCTTATCAGAAAGCAGGCAAGTGCGGGTGGTTTTATCGGCTTACACCCAGACTCACGACACCATGGTACAAGCAGTAAGCGAAGTCGGCCGTATAGTAGGAACCACTGCCTTCCTAGACCTATATGTCAAGCTTGCGCGAATTCCAGAAAAGGCCAACCCGGCATTTGAGGCAATAGCACAAGATTCACGAGGATCTTCGAGAAGCGGGAGGAGACACTACGCTTATCGACCTCGCCTATGGAGCGACCACGGATGTATGACGGAAGAAGAGGCAGAGCAAGTGGAAGAAGTCTCAGTCATCGACACGGTCACAATCCACGGTCGCCTTCTACACCTCACCAACGACCAACAAGAAGCCCTGGTACTAGGGTATAGCAGATACCCATTGATCGCGCTGCAAGCAGCCTTTAAAACTGGAAAAACAGCAGTTGGCGCTAGCATAGCCATATATCAGGCACAACAAGGGCAAAGGGTCATAGTCACCGCCTCGACGAACACGTCCATAACGCAGTTCACAAATACCCCGTAAGGATTTGCCCAAGCCAATGATGTCGGAGTGGTCCGGGTTGTCGCCGAAACAATAGCGTTTGACATTGAAGTCCCATCAACGCCAGTAGACCTCAACGAAGTTCTCAAACGCATCGGCACAGTCTACGCATCTGTCCTCACACGCTCAGAAAGGGAAACGTGCAGACGCTTCGCTGAAGGCAGGGTACGATACGAAAGATACAAGCGCGAACGCCGCATGGATCTCAGTGACCAAGAACGGGAAGTAAATTATGGCCGAGAGGTACGTAACCTACAATGTGCAGGAGATGGTGGACATATCATTCAAGCTTATGAACCCAAGGATCATCCGCATCACCACAGCATCCCTGCTGAACACCACCGACAAAAAAGGCCTTTTCAGGGGATACTTGGACCGTTCCAGTCTCCTGATCTGCGACGAAGCTTCGCAAGTCCCCGAACCTGTCTTCATGGCGATGGTAGCACGGATACCGACGGCAAGGCCTATCTATATAGGAGACTTCCACCAACTTCTCCTACGCCAAATGCTCGCGCCTACACAATCCTGCACGTCTGGGTGCCCAAAGCATCATGGACGTCTTACAGAAGGCACGGGCGGTGCCGGTACGCAATCTCATTACGACGTTCAGGGCCCATCCCGACCTCCTCTCCTTACCGAACACTTGTCCTACGAGGGAAACCTTATTAGCGTTGTAAACCGCAGCCGACAGACAGTTACTCCTCAACATCGTCGACTTTCCGAATCCTCGTCTACCATTCATGTTCATAAACGTCAATGGAGAGTCGGTCAAGGTCGTACACTCTCACTATAATGAATTCGAGCAGAAAGTGTGCCAATTCCTCGTCCAACCTCAATCAGGAAGGGGATCGCACCAGCCGACATCGTGATAATCTGCTTCTACGAAGAGCAACAGCGACACCTGCAGGGTTTTCCGCACGATCAGGAGTCCGCTTGTCGACAGTGGATGCAGTTTAAAGCTGCGAAAAAGAAGTAGTTGTGGTACTGACCACCAAAACAAACTTCGACCCCAAGGGCGCAGAATTTCTCGACGATAGAAAACGTATGAACGTCGCATTGACGCGATGCCGTCAGGGACAATTCCTACTCGGCCATTACCAGTCGTTGGAGCCACTACCCTTCTGGGGAACGGTACTGCAGTGGGCCAGCGAGCGCAACGCCGTCATTCCCGCTACCAGCCTAGGACGGCGGCTTAGGGTCTAAGGAAAGGTGAGTTCAATAGACCAGGCACCTACCCTTCTTAAAAGTCCCTTCGGGACTTTTGGGTAAATTGGGGGGTGTAAGGGAGAATAGCTGTAATACGGTTGTTTACAGAAGAGAGCGTCGCAGTCGGAGAAGCTGAGATCGAGCGCGGGCAATTTAAGGAGGAGAGAAGGAGCAAGCGAGGGTATGCCACCATCTGGAGTGGTACGCTCACCGACCGACAGTCGACCTCTGTTGCTCATCATACCGATTTACATCTTTTACGTCAATAAATCTGATTTTCTATTATTCGTTTACCTTCCTAATAAACAATTTTTCTTTACTGTGTTCTGTTACGGCAAGTGAGGGCCCAACACTTACTGTAGTCTTTCCTTGTAATAATGGAAAATTGCACTTTGCTGCGATCAAGGTAACCTTATCCTTATCAAGAGATATGCGCATTTTTCCTTATTTGGAACCCTTCCTGAAAAGGTCTTCTGAAGCTCATGTGCGTGTACTGAGGGTATTCCATTATTGAACCAGGGAAGGGGTAAAATTGTATTCCTTTCAATTTTATTCTTCCGTAAATCTTGCTGCAACCTCTTCGGTTTTGTCAAAAGCTAGCCAACTAAAAGGATCATAAATTAAGGCAATTTGTCGTGCTAGAATACTTTTTGTAAGAGTTGCGGAGTGGCAACCAATGTCTCGCTGTCGATAGTGAAGTCGTTGGAATATTCATTGAGACGAACCCGATGTTTTACCTGGGGAGCAACCTATAATACAATCGGGGGGCTCCTTATATAGGTAGTAAGGCGGAGCTGACTCCTGCACAATTAGACTGTCCAGTAAATATATGCAAGAAAGAGGATGCCGCGGCTTGGCGCGGACCCTGGAAGATAGGTGCGCCACTCAGGCCCGTATGCACTAACATTTCTGCGGCGAGGGGAGCGGCGTCCCCCGTTATGAAGGGACCGCGTGCGGACGCCGCTGCGGCTTTTTCATCATTGGGGACGCCGCTCCCCTCGCCGCAGGGATGTTAGTGCATGCGGCCCTCACTGGTGAGTGATTCGGCACTCAAATATAAGAGATTGGGGAATGTAGCCTGTGGGGAATACACGTAAGCTATGATTATAGAATTGTTGAGGTTGATGATACATACATCATCAACGTAATGATAACTGATCAGCTTCAGTTTCCCAAGTCACGCTGATAGTTTCCATGGTATGGATCCTTGCACAAACGTCTTCGGGTAAATAGCCTTTTGAGAAACTACCGTCAAATGCGAAATCTCTTCAGTTCACTTTCATGTCCTTGAATGAGCGAGTTTTTATTGCCTTGCTACTCGCTTCTTCTGGTGTGCCGGCAGATAAGATAAGATTATCAACGTGAAGGTTTCTTCGAATTCGTTTAGCCAAATCCTCGCCTTTGTCTAGCAAGGGAAGGGTACGTGGTTGAAGTGGTCTTTCCATACACAATTTAAACTATCTTATACAGCAGGGAATGCTGATTTCAAATCTGCTTTCATCATCTGCAAAGCGCCTCTGGGAGGGGAGTTATGGAAATTAATTGATGTAAGAATTTGAAAGCGCCGCTACAATAAAATAATTCAGAACTTTAGTCCGTAAATTTAAATGGGGCCGTAATTACTACCAGGACGTTTCGTGCAATAAATATCTTCAATCTAATAACTTATGTCAGTTACTACTTTCAGCGCCGAAAGAACTCAGGACGTTTTTTGACCTTATAAATTTGCATGTTTACCTCGAAAAATTCCCAGACCTTTCCCTCCAGAAGCGCTTTGCAGATAAATAAAAAGCAGATTTGGAATTAGCCTTCCATGCTCTGTAAGATAGTATAAATTTCACATGGAAACGCTACTTCGAAAAAGTATCCTTCCTTTGCAAGTTAACTGAGGGCCGCATGCATTAACATCCCCGCTGGGGAGGGGATCGCGCTTACAAGGAAAGCTTCATATCCTGAAGCTCCGAACTTCCGGATTTCACGCTGTCAACCTATCCGTAAGTTTTCCTACCATCCTCACTATGAACATATTGAACAGGAGCAAGAAGCTGTACAAGCCGAATTTTCTAATATTTTGTATGATCCTCTTATCATCTCTGGCAGCCGACCGTCTTCTTCTCAGAGTCATTTTTCTTTCTTCGAAGTCAGCGAAAACCATTTAAAGTTGTGCTAATTATGTAATCTCAAAGTGCTAAGCATGTTAAAGATAGGATCAAATGATGTATTGATGTCATGAATTTTGCGTTAAACCACAAGTCGAATGTTGGGGTTTATCAAAGAATTCGATTTTTCAAAAACTCATCTGTTCTTATCAGTAACATGTTTAGCACTGCTGTGTTAGATGTTCAGTACAACTTTGGAGGGTTTTCATAGAAAGACTTCATAGAAAGAAAGTGACTTTGAAGAAAAGACGGTCGGCCGCCGGGGATCATACAAAAAGCTAAAAAACATGTTACTGGCTTGTACAGCTTCTCGCCTCTGTTCAATATGTTCATAGTGAAGGAAGGTGCTTTCTTTCTAAGCTGCGATCCCCTTCCCAGGGGGGGGGGGGGTTGTTAATGCATGCGGCCCTAAGTGAGATTGGATGGTTTTTCCCAAAGGAAACGGTGACACATTTAGTCCTAATGTTATTCTTACCACCTTCGGGTGGGAGAGTCATATCATGTACCCAGCAAAATCCTGTGATGTGACATCTTTGTCAGTTTCGTGAAGATGTACTAGCAAAAAAGTTCTCTACGTCGGCTGTGAGTGCACATTTCGGTGTTCGAAAGCGAACAACCATTCCAAATGATTTTGGTGGTATTAGAAGGCCTTGATGTAAAGTACATTAGCAACAGACAAATTTCATAGTGTGAAGAGGCGTCAAAAACAAAACACGGGGGTTTGGATATATTGGCCCGAAGTAAACCCCCATCAGGACATCTCTTTTGAGGCGGGCCGGAGTTGATCTCATCGCGCCTCAGCACATTGCCAGGGGAGCGATTGATTTGGAGCAGATCACTTACTGGACGTTCGCGTTTTCAAAGGTGGAAGTTTCTGCCATTTGTGCATTACTAGTCAAATGGATAAGACTGATGCGTTTCAAGCGGCAGGGCCATGGTTCGAATGCGGCTAGCCGCACCATTTTTGCTACTTGGCCTGGCACCTTTGATAGCGGCCGTTATCGAAAAATCGATGATAGCAGCTATCAGGGTTTCATCTAGCAAACAACGAGATAAAACAAATACAAATTATTTTGGCATTCATACGAGGAAAAATACACTTGGCGAAAAATGAATAAAAAGATAAATTTACATTTTTGTTATCTGCGGTTCTTCAGGAAAAACAAGCAAAAACTGCAAGGAAAATGCAAAAATAAACTCTTTTCCGATTTCGTCGCGCAATCAGCTGTTCATCGATCCTCACTCACTTAGGCGCCCGAAATTGTGCAGTTTTGGGAGTTTTGCACTGCAAAAGAACGTCAGCTGCGGTGTTTCTTAAGTTACTTGGGAGCAACTTACGGAGGTTTTCTCTGTGCTCTCCTCTTTAGCACAGTATTTGCGTTATGTCGTCGCCCGGCTCATCTCCGATGACTCGGTAGGGAGCTGGATCTCCCTGCCGGGCTTCATCTGAAGCTCACCTGTAGGGTGACCTTGCATGCTTACACCACGAAAAAGTGGGCAGTCCTCATCTCACCCGACAAAGGCTCATATGAGGGCCTCAGAGGAGATCATCTTTCGTGATCGAGCTTTACTACGGGCCATTGTTCAACGAGATTGGCGGCTGAAAGGCGACCTCTCTTGCCCGCGACGCAGTCGGCGCCTTTCGTGAGCATGCTCTCGGATCATTCTTTAGCCTTAATTAGGTCACGAAACCGCGCCTCAAAGCGTTCATCCAGTTTAATCAAAGGCTATGGAGTTCTGTAGAGGCTTCTTAGGCCATCTTGGTAGGAACTATTACAAAGGCATAAAATTTATATTGATTAATGTAAAATAAGTAAAAGTGGCACTTTATCATCTCACAATAAGCGGTCATAATCACAAATACTTACTTTCTCACTAATTAATTACCCGCTGTTTACAACAAGGTACATCCAGGTCTATTCTTTCAAATACTACGACTTTTGAGCAGTGACGATCTTTAACTCCTCATTGGCTTCGATGGATTCTAGACAACGTTGAATATCCTATCGGGATGTAGCAGAAACTTGATAGGGTTGTGAAAGAGCTGAAAAACGTCGTTGAGTCAGCTTAAATGTTTGATGACCACATTTCAGGGACTACAGATGTAGTATGATAGATTTGAGGTATCATAATGTACAGTCGAATCATTTCATATGATCATGCGTGTCACTGCACACACTGTCCACCTTAAGATGGACAGTGTGTGCAGATTTGGCGTCCTCATCCTGGATTCTAGGAATAAAAAGCCTTTCTGTTAAGTGTTTCCGATATTTTTCTCATGCTTTTTCTTTTTATAAGATACCAATCTTCACAAGGTGATGTAAGCGATAACAATCGGTTGTTCTCTCGCGTTTTTGCGATTGCAATTCCGGGATGGGGTCGCCAAATGTGGACAGTGTGTGCAGTGACAAACCTGATCATATGAAATGATTCGACTATAGAGTGCGGACATATTCTATGCTCAGCTTTTGAATTCAACGCAATAACTAAGATAAAGTCAAAGTTCCCTAGCATAGGCGATATAACGTGTAGAGGATATACGTCGAATAGCGCGCGAACATCTGCAGCAAGTACGCACCTCATGCATTTGTATGTATAAAAGAGCGATTTTGTTGCAGATTCCGCCCGCGCCACCCTTTCCGCGACAGATAACCTTTGATTCAACTGGCTTGACGACTGGAAGGCGGGGCTTTGTGACCTAGCTAAAGCCGCTCGCGCCCGCGACGCAGTCTGCGTCCCTCCCGCGCGCATGCTCTCTGATTGATACCTGGCCTTGATTAGGTCACGAAGAACCGCCTTTCAGCCGCCAAGCCAGTTGAACCAAAAGGTACTCCTCACCCGCGTAACTCTGGAAATCACGCACAAAGGGTATTCCGCAGAACTCGAACTTCAGAATGGCGTTAACTTCAAATTCGCCCAAAAAACTAACGCTTTGCAAGTAGGTCCTGACACGATACAATGACATGGCGCGATAGGTGGGCCTTCAAACTGCTTGCGTATTGCACGTATTGTGGTCTCCCGTATGCCTTCTTCTTCTTCAAGATTTAAGCTTCTATACTTACCCAATTCGCTTGGTGTAGGCGGGAGCGGTTTTGACATTTCCAAACTTGCTGACCGATAGTGACATGAGGATATATAGGATCTCGAGGCTGAAAAACAACAGATTATTTTTTTAAACCTTTCTATTTTGGCAGGACACATACTCGAAGATGTTGCCGTAGAGTATGATGCATTATCGGGCAAGCTTGTACAGCGGCTGTGTAAACAATTCAACAGCACAAACAGCTGTATTATGGAAAGTATACAGAAAACCACCAGCGCTATGACAAGGTGCGACCGTAGGAGGCAGTACTGGTCTTCAGGCATCGAAGCGAATTCTGAAGTAAGATATTTGTAGTGTTCTCCATTACCTAAACAAAGCTATGTATAGCTAGGTAAGTAGTATACGCCTCAGAAGCAAAGCAAGTTATGCTCCAATTTGAACGGTTTCATAGCTCTCCTGCGTCGCTAGCAACACGTAAAAATTAACCCTAGGCCCAAGAAAATGTGCGTTCCATGATCACTATCTATGGTGTGTCGGCATTGCAAGAAACGCTATATTAAATGAAAAATCTTGGTTAGAGAGTCTGTAAATGTGGTAGGAGTTTCTCATTTAACGTCTTTGAACTCACAACAGGGAAAGAATAAAGCAGTTTGTTTTCATGGCGACCTCCCCCCCTCCCTCTTACTCACTTTTCCGAATAAGTAGAACTTGTCCTTTACTTTTCTGATTTGGAACCAAATCACTTTTTGGACAAATTGAGCTTTCGGAAAGGGCTGGCACTAGACCCAAAATGAATGTGATAATTATAAGCCTTTGTGATTTTCGAAGCCTTTCCATCAAGGTGGTCCAAAAGTAATGGGGCACCTTGATCTTTTAAACATTTTCAAAAGTTTCTTTCTGATTTACAATAAACAATGAATCTTGAACGCTATTGTATGAAGTGACTTCGCATTTTATCCTGACAGCACCTTGCATCACCTCACAGTGTCCATGTTTAGACATCGCCCAGAAGGTTCTAATATGTGCTAACATCTGCCAATTTGAACATCCGATCGAGTTTTCTTTTGGAGAAAACTGCAGATTCCTTAGGTGTTCCATCACTTTCTCACCTTACAAGGAAATGGTCAGAAATCGAAGGGGCTAATTCTAACAAGCTGCATATCATTAGATGCAGCATAAAATGCTGACTCTAAATCTGTCTTTCCTGCCTGCAGAACACTTTTTTGGATGAAGTTATGAGCCGTTGATGGCCATTATTTTGCTAAGAAATCGTGCGCGTAAAAGGCAAACTTGATTGTACAGAGCCATTGCCGGCTCAGTGCTGGACCAAGACATGCAACTAGGTCATTTCATATGCCCCGCACCTAGAGGAGAGCTAAAAGGGCAATAATGTGCCTAATGATTTTTTTTGCCGTAAGCTGCTCATAACTTCGCCTACATAGACGTTCTGCAGACACGGAAGACAGATTTGAAATCAGCGTGCTATGCTGCATCGAATGGTATGCAGCTTGCTTGGATTGGCCACTTCAACCTCTGACCATTTCCTTGTTCGTAGTAATACTATCAAATGGCCATTTTGAAGAATTTATCTTGCATAATCCAATTTCCTTGAAACTATTGGGAGTTTTGAGCGTTTGCGAAATGAATGAATACAGAGAAGAATTGGGGCATAAACTCTTTTTTATGCTCTCGTCAAATTTGATGAGATTGCGAATTGGATTAATTTATTCGAAGCCATTACGAGTCTATTTTATTGCAGTGAGAATAATGAAGAAAGATTTGCAACTTATCCCAATCTCGCAGTGGCGTGCCCAGGAATTCCGTTCGGGGTGTGGGGGGGGACACAATTTTTTCAACCAAAGGTGCATGGCATTGGCCACGCACTTCGAAATATCTGCTTGGGTTGGCTCCCAAATATTTCCGCGGGCTCACGCCTCCCAATTTTTTATACAGGGCTAATTTGATTTTTGAAAAATTTGAAGAGTTACTCTAATTACTTGCAAGTACAAACAGTAATATAAACAAGTCATTTGCACATCTTTATAACGCTATGTAACTTTCAAAAATTTTGCGACTCAGTTTCGGGAGAGGGGGGGGGGGGTTCTTAGGTACATCACTGTTATTTCAAGATTTTTTTGCAGAAATATCTTTGAGCCAATACTGCTTTTCGATTATGGGAAATGGAATTTGAAGTGTAGCTACAAAATGACCATTATACTGCTGTACTAAATACATATTGCGCGTAGTTGTGAAAGCGATGCTAATATAGCTTCCCCTCCTCGTATATCACAGTATGAATATTGGCGGAAGTTTCTGGTAGTAACAAGACATATATTTGCTATACAATGTTTACCATGCAGAAAAAGAGATTCTGCAGTAAAATTTCATGATTTCAAATTTCTTTCACGCTGTATAAACTCCCAATCTTCTTATTTTGCACTTTTACAGCTATTGTGCGAAAAGAACAACGTAGCCCATAACTATGATAAATGTAAAGGACAGTTAGTAAAAGTGGCCCTACAAAATGGGATGATTACTATCTTGGAAAGTGTGCAGTGCTGAAGAGGTAATCTCAAAATTTCCTTTTTCAAACATTGCGGAATAGTTCTGAACAAAAATTTCGATTTTCCTCAGTCATTGACACTAGTATAAAAAAATCTCAAAATTAAAGTCTCCGATAACTCTTCTTCACGCAAATCTTTCTGCTTTGAAACATTTTGCGAAAATCGCGTGGTAGGCTATTAGCACAGAACTAAAACAACTGATTGAAAGTGGTAATTTGTTCGTTCTCTTCAATATAATGCTATTTTTGAAAAGTAGTCAGTTCCACACTTTTTCTATTCTGCAGCAAATGCTCGAGTCCTTGCCTGATAAAAAGTCAAGTGATATCATCAACGAGAGAGTGTCGCTAACTTATGAGCTGAAACAAATCGGAAGAAATAATTTATCAAGATATTAGGACAACTGATGGGTTAGCACTGGAGGCCAAAGCACCAAAAAGCGAGTTTTGCTTTACGAAGTCTGCAGAGGACCAAAGCCCATATTATTATACTTCCCGATTCCCCATATAATTCTCCCCGTCCGCACATCGTTAACATCTATACCCAGTAACTTAACACGCTCGACCCTCGTTTTCTACGATGACAAATAGCCGGGGCCGGGCACCAAATTCCAAAGGGGTTTCGGAACGGCAGCTGCTGACAGCTCCATAGCGCCGTCCATCAGCACGCGCACAGACGCGAACTTGTTCAAAGAAATTTTTTCGGTCCTTTATTCCTATGATTCACGCTCAACTGACCTGGTCTCGGTCTCCTTTGCTTCTTCTCATAGTCGGTGATTGTAATGGTCCCAGTGACGATGCGTTTAGTTAGCGGGGTTGATGGCTGCAATACTAATCTTCAATCTTCGTTCGTTTAATGAATCTGGATACTTTAAGCGCATTAAGAGCCTCAGGGACGGATTATCCATTCTCGTATGCTAAGAAGAGGATTCAGTTTCATATAAGAAGCGAACATAAATAGATTAATCAGCAGCGACCAACAGCGGGGTGACGTGCCCCCATGCCCAATGGTCTAATGCGCCTTTTTGCTGGGACCGCCAAACTCGCTCTCGGCTTTGGCTTTTGCTTTCAGACTCAGCGTGTTTCCATGCTTATGTGCAAATCTCGTGAGAATTACGCTATAAAAAGTTTATTCCTCTGAACTTCGAGGCTTATAAATACTTCTCATTTTTTCTTTTTCTGATATGGAAAAAAGGAGAACCGCATTTAGATAGCAGATGGCTAGTAAGTTTCTTTTGCTATGGAACCAGACAACTCCAAACAATTTAGAATACAAGAACTAAAATTTTTTGACAGTAGCACCATGCCACTGCAGTCTCCTAACGGTGCTGACAATTTTGTATCACTTTGATGACGCGTTAATTTAGCACCTTTCAAAAATCACTTTTTCTCTGTCAAAGCTTCTTTATCGTCTTGTAGTAATCTAGAGAAGTTTGTCGATCAGATACACAACTCTCGTCTATCTGAAAAAAAGGAATAAATCTAATGGTCATCTAACTGCGATACCAAAATTTGGATTATTAGTTTACAAAGGATTGAAGAAATCTTGGTCAGTTCAGTTTTCGCGCCCTCGGAGAGAAGGCTTTTCAAAAGTCAAAAAATGCTTCTTAAGACAAACGACAACTCTTTTTGTTTCAACTTTTTGAATAGCCAAATACTTAACTGATTTTCAAGTTTCTAGGGGACCGTCAAAATTCATCGAGTTGGTTGTAGTTGAAGTTGACCTGGTTTTTTGTCCCATCATCACCAAAATTCTAATACTTTTTTTCCATTTAGATGTTGAAACAATTTTTGTCTCCAAATCTGATTTTCAATTTCCACATACATATCTTTGCATATTCTATACTATCTTTGCTAATAAATTGCTTTTAATTCAATTATATTGCAACGAGGTTCAGAGTGAGTCAACGTATGACCAGACTTTCAGCTAATTTTTTGTTTTCAAAATTTTGGTATTGCAATTGTGCTCTTAGACCTCTGTGATTTTTTCACATAAAATTTTATCCACATTTTGCAGAACGGTGCTGCATAATCTTTCCAAATTTCAAAAAAAAAACACTTGGTATCTTCTACAACCGGTCCAGATATGCATCGCAAAGTCATAAAAGAATCTGCCTTGGAACGCCATTTCACTTTTACCTTGACTTTTTGCGCTCTTCGCAAATTTTGCTATGGAAACATGGCTGCTTCAATAGCTTTCTTTCAGCTAAAACTTTCACTTCCACAAACCAAAACTATATGCTTCCTTCTATATAATCGAGTCCTGAACGCCAATGATGGATTTTCTTTTGAGTTTGTGAACATGGGAAGATAATGCCTTGAGCACTACATCGATCACTGTCCTGCTAAGGAAGTTATACATTTCTCAGCTCAGCGAACCTTGGAAAACAGAAATGTTGAGTGTCCATGACTTTGCTGCTTAATTTCAAGAAAGCAAATCCATTTTAGCAGACCTTTCAAACAAAGCATTTCTTTGGAAAATGCTTTTGGAGTCTACTTTGCATGATATCTTCTTTTTATAGAGAAATGTGTTCCGAACGGAAATATCACATTTCGTTGGCATATCAAGCAAAGCTTGGAGACATTTTCTTTGCTTTCAAAATCAAATCTTCAAAATTTGCGTAACTTGCTCTAGTGGTTTATGCAAAGATTTCGATTTACTTTTCAACTTTGCACACTTGGACACTGAATTCATAAGCCATTTCATGCATAGTATATTGGCAGACACGAAAATGCTTCAGATGTGGATAAAAGTTTTTGACAATCAAACTTTATATTTTTAATAAATATTTTATGTAGATAACGATAAATAGCAAAACTAGACATTTTTCTTCAATTGTAAAATTCACTATCAAAAACCTCCTTACTTCGTTTGACTAACAATAAGGTCACAATTCTTCGGAGCAAAAATGGCTTCGTTCAATATTTTAACTCAGTTTCTTAAGGTTGTAATTTGTGATATGATAAAAGTACTTCAAATTTGATTTTCACTGAAAGTAGGAATTTTTCCCGAACTTTGGTAGCTTTCTTATGGGCCGGGCATACTTCACGCGATTTCAGTGCGACGCGATTTGGCAGTATTCTAAGTGTGCATGACTCGCTGTAAGCACATTCTAAATGTACAGAAGGTAGGGCATTTCATCAATTCTCATAGGTTATACATACTGTGCTTGTGCAGTTTGCTAGTATTGGGTCTGAAGAGTTCTGGCGAATTGCCAAATCGTCTCGCGACTGAAATCGCGTGGAGTATGCCCGGCCCTTTATTAATCCCAGCGATTTTTCAAAGGCCTTGGGAAAATAATGTTTAGACTGATGACATTACAGAAAAGGAACATGGAATGTTATTTCAACCATGAAGTCACTGAAAACTATTTCTACTCTTTGAATTCCAAAGTCCCGTCATTTTTCCCTTTGTTAAGCCAAGAAGCGGAAATGCGCGTAACCAAGCAAATTCAAAGCAAATTCTTATTCGATCTGTACAAAAAGTTCAACAAAGAAAATGAAATTTTTGAAGTAAATTAGCGAACCAAATTGTTCCGGACGTTGCTGTATCAGAAGCTTTATACGACATTACTCTGCCAATCTTATTGGATTCTCCGACATCATAACAAGCAAAATTTTTGACTGCCACGTCAGCCAAAACAGCTGTTGATTTCATTCATACTAGTGATTCAAACCATAGCAGTCATGCATGACCAATCCTTCGCACTAAATCTTGCTTTGATCCAGTGGAAAACCATTATGAGAGCTTTGGGCTGATTTATTTGGCCTTGTTCCAGGACAACAACTAACCGCCATGGGGCGTAAACTCCGTCTAAAGAACACTTTTGAAAATTTAAAAAAAGAGTCCAGTCAAAATCAAAGTCTAGTAAAAAACTAAGCCTTTCAGTCCTTCCAAGAAAACCCTGACCTGATTGAAAGTTGGATAACAATTCAAAATTTACATTGCTATCATAAGAAAAAAATTTCATCGAAATATCTAATATCCAACCATGGAAATAAGAAAAATCGAAAAATGAATCTTTCAACCCTTTCAAAGTTTGTAAAAATTTTCATTTTGTGTTAAAGTTGTATTGAAAATCATATATCACACCCATGACTTACTCAATTGCTAGTTTAGACTAAATTTTTTCCAGTTTTGAAAATTGTATCTCTATAATTGGCATTATTATTGATTTTTGTGGGACGTGTATATATTTTTGTCAAACTATAGTGATAAACTTTCGAAAAAAAAGTCCTAATATGGATAGTACTGTAGGATTACTGTAATATTACCGTAGAATTTTACTGCTATAAGACTGAGGATTTTGCAGTGTTGCCTTTGTTTTCTACTATACATACTTGCCATGTTTTTACTATTGTTTCTACTACCGTAGGATTACTGTAGTTTTTATCTTCTTCCCACGTTGTTAGTTAAGATTTCTAATACTTTGACCCTACCTTCTCCCCATCCATAGAAAAAGCTGGTTTTGTCTTTTTCATCAACATTGTCAGATCCTTTGCCGATTCTCTTCTCCATCTTCTGAGACTTTCATCTGTGCCATCTTCCAGACCTTCGCAAGTGACCTAAAAATTATGATTACTGCTATTTTTCAATTTTTCAGTGGAACCCCATGTGCGGTAAGGTCATGCGACTTTCATTTCGAGGCTATCTATGTCGCTATCTTTGTTCAGAATCTCATTCGTCTTACGTTTATGGGTGTTTGAGGCGTTCGCCACTATCTAACCTTGCCTATCGATTGATCTTAAGTAAATATTGATCTGTTCACATTTTAGTGCTATTTTTGCTCACATTTTCTTCCTTGAGAATGAGTTGAACCATTCTATATGGAATGAACATAAATCTATCATCTTTCACTACAGAAAAATAAAAAATTTAGGAATTTTCTATCTTTGTAGGATGGCTTCGTACCTTGGAAAAACAATTTTACCTCGATATATTTGGCTTGACGGAAAAGTGGAAGAAAATGTTCCGATCACGATAGACAGCGAAGGAGTAATAACGGAAATTGGAGGAACTGTACCGTACGATGTGGTTAGGATGGAGAATGAGGTAAAGAATCTTTTTTATGTATTCTAGTTCGGAAAAAATTGAAGATCAAAATATTGATAATGAATCCGTCAATTTGCCTTCATTACTGAGGCAGGGGATATGATTTTTGAGCTAGTTTTGACTGGAAATGATCTATTTCTACTTCTTTAGATGCCAATGACTAGAAAGATCCTAATTTAGCATTGATCCTTTTGTCTGACATCAGTCTCAACATTCATTTTTTTTTTCAGTTCATTTCTCCCGTAAAACAATAATCCTATGTTTATGTATCGCTGCGCACTTAGAATTTAGTTTCAGCGTTCATAGTTTACATGGGTTTCTTGATATCGCATCCACATAGACCAAGTTTAAAAAAAGAAATTTGGATTGTCTTCTTATACGGGCCATTCCAACAATATTATCATTTAAACCATGTCAGATCTTGCATCTGTTATCTATACAAAAGATGTGAAGTTTTGAAGATTCCTCAAGATACGAGGAAAATAATTTCGCAACCTTAAAAAATCAAAAAAATTTTAAGTTTTCTTTGTAGAGCTTATTATGTTTATTTGAGAAAAGGTATACTTGAAACAGTAGAGATCAGGTTATAACAGCTATCTCTTTCTATTTCTCTACATTGTTTTTTCGAACAGCTGACTGCTGGCTGGTAGTACAGCCAGAGACCAGCTGTCAACCTAATTATCGCCTGTTACACTAAGGAATTTGTCACCTTAAGAATTTCCGAGTTAGGGCAACCATTTCTCTGCCTGATCTTTCCTCCTCATTGAATGTTATGTGAAAAAATGCCGAAGAAAAATGAAGCAGAAGGGGCGCAGATGACGAAGTGAAGTTCATCAAAATTTGCATGAATCTTTAGAATTGATGGATTAGCAAACTGCAAAGAAAAATTTGTCGCGAGAATTTTTCGATAGGAATTTATTGCATGCAAAAACCGTAAGATGATTGATGGAGGTGTGGATACTGTTATCAAATGCGGGAATCTAGGAGGTGGATTGATGCGGGAATCTAGGAGGTGGATTGAGAATGTATCGATGTTAATAGATTACTATGAAAAAGTTATTCAGTTTGTTGCATGTTCAAAAAAGTCAAAAAGGCAGGTCACCTCTTCAAAAATTCAAATTTCAATTTTTTGAATTCATCATCACCATAGTAATCTAATTTTCCATTTTTCTCCGACGTAGATCAGAATATTAACCAACCGCTCAAGAATGAATCGCCGAGTAGGGGGCGGGACATGTCAAAAGGGGCGTGGCACATGCATGGTTCAGAAATTTTTTTGTAGAGCGGATAGAATAATACCGGAAGTGGAGGGCAAGATGAACGCAAAACGGGATTTAAGGAAAGGAAAATGACTTTTTAAAATTGAGTGTGGAATTAGACAAAATTATTTAGTCCACAATCAATTTTATTCCTAGAAACGATGAGATATTATGAAGCAGTGGCCTAGCGAGGGAAGGGTCGAGGATGCAAAAATTTTGAAAGTTACATAAGATTGAGAAATCAAAATTGTGTAAGTGACTCGTATATACTTGTATCTAAGCAAGTTCTTGAAAATTTATATTAGCTACAGAAATATTTTTCTTGGCTTGTTTCCCAAAGACCACAAAAATTCGGAAGACATCCCACGAATATGTTTCCGGAAGGTTTGGCTAACACCACACTCCTTTAATTGCAGAATAAAAATCCGCTGCCTTTCCCTTATCCCCTAAAGCTTCCCGGCCAGCACCGGTTATGGTATAGATCTAAAGTCCAGTAGATCTATATTCATATGATTCTTGCCCGAACGCCGGCACTTGGGCGGAAATACGTCCTCAATGACCATTTTATGCACCATTGTTGCCGTCACCATGGAGGCAACATTTTTCGTTGAATCTAATAAACCAAAATGGTTATCAAACCGCGTGTGCAAACTAATCAATAGTTTTACTATTATTACCAATTATCTATGATATTTTTCACTATTTTAATAATCATTGATGAAACCAAAATTTGATGTGAAAGCCTCTTTAATTCGGATAAAACCTCATTCTGCGGCTGCATTCGTTCCTTCTTATTTGAAGAAAATTTATTGCAGATTGTGCTGCCAGGATTTGTCAACGCTCATTCACATGCTTTTCATCGTCATTTACGAGGTCGTAGTGAAATCGGCGGAAAAGCGGCGGACACTTTTTGGAAATGGCGAGACAATATGTACGCTTTGGTGGACGGCATAACGGAGCAAAGGCTTTACGAGGTATGTTTCACCAAAAATGCTTGAGGGCAGGGTTCAGGCAATTCTGCGCAGGTCCTATGTGGAAACATCGAAAACCCCAATTTATTATAGTTATTGCCCAACGGCAGTCCATAAAACTCATTTGCGACCGTAAATCAACACGATGTTGCCAAACATGCCGTACTCATTTCTAGTGGGCCAATCAGCGTCTTACGGTACGGTAGAGACAGACAGTACGGTCTGGGCTTGTGTTAAAAGTTGAATTTTTCAGCCGTGAGTAAATTATAAGAGCTGCTCCTTGGGCAGTAGCTTATTGAAGGCCCCTCGATAGGTTCCCACGTAAGAAACCCAGATGAAATTTGCCAGGCCTTCCTTCAAAATCCCTGAACTGGATGTTTAGTATTGCCACTCAACATTCCGCGAAATGTTGGCTGCTGGTATCACAACCGTAGGCGAATTTCATTATGTTCACCATGGTGCTGGTCGGTTCGATCTCGATGAAGCTGTACTACGAGCAGCCGAGGATGTCGGAATAAGAATTACACTTATACAGGTGCATAATCAAATAATATTAACATTCATCAACTGACTTTTGTTTGCAGACTTTCTACGAAAACGCAGGTTTCGATAAACCAGCGCTACATCCAGTACAAGAGCGATTTGTTTCCAGTTATGACGAATTTATGGACAATTTTCATAAACTGTTGAAGCATAACAGCAAAACGATCACCATTGCAGTCGCAGGTGAGTCACTTTTTGGAACAAACGGGGAAAAGATTTTAATGTATGGGAATTTCAACGGTATACAACATTGAAATTTATGGGTTGCACGGAAGTTCTGGTTACTGTTCTGTATGTGTACCGTATCATATTTTGCACTTAACTTGAGACCATGTTGGCCACAATATAGCGAACTTTCTTCGAATAATTCTTATTGTTCGCTGAAGTTCCGCCAATATATAAGATATACAACCATTCAACAGCTTTGAAATAAGCTGGAAAATATCAATAGATAGTGACAGGTACTAGCCGAGAGCAGAGTTTAATTAAGTTTGATTTGTACTAAATTTTAATTAATAAAATATCAGAAAACAGCACCAGTATTTCAAATGTATTTCTTCCTCAACTAAATTGTATACTCCATACGACAAGCTCGATGTTTCATACGCGCGAAAATGTATATTTCAGCCCATTCCTGTAGAGCTGTGAGCTTTGAGAACATCAAAAAGCTCTATGAAATGGCTACTGAACAAAACATCGCATTCCATATTCATGTAGAAGAGCAACCGAAAGAGATCGAGGACTGCATGAGGTTCCTCGGGGAGAAAAAGGTGGGTGCGCATACCTACTTCGATTTATGAAAAGACTTTTTTCCGATCAATAGAACCTCGAAAAAAAAAGGAATGTGATGTTACGATTAAAAAAGTTGCAAAAAAGTAGAGGTCGTCTCGTTAGAGATTTTGCCTTCTTTCCTCTTGGTCGACAGTAAATCCACCAAAGCAATTTTCAGGGTCCTTCTGATCTCCTACTTGAAGGTCTCAACATCAACAAACTCTTTTCTGCAGTTCATGTCACGTATACCCCAGTAGATAATATACGAAGAATCACCAAATTAGGAGGAAATACCGTGATCTGCCCCTGCACAGAAGGTAACGATACAACTACAAACCTTTTTGACACCTTGGTCAATACATATGCTTTTAGGCTATCTCGGGGATGGAATTCCACATGTGATCGATGGTCAACATATCAGTTATGGAACTGACTGCAATAATAGGATAGGATTTCTAGAAGAAATGCGATGGGCATGCTATTCCCAGCAGGTAATGATTAACTTAGAACTATGCAAAAACCGGCTGTTTGTAGAATTCTTTGTAAGAGATACGAGAAAAAAGATGATAATGTTTCTGGTAGAAATCTTCCCATGACAAACTATGTAGTCGTGAAACATTTTTGGTCTTCGTATTTTATGCCACGGCTAAATTGGTACTGAATACAGTTTTCATCAAATTTCTGATAACTTCAATAGCGTTTGAATTTAAAAAATGTAATTTTTGCCGTTTTTAACATTCGATATTATTGAAGATTTTGAGAGATAGTATTTTATCTGCAGATGCTTCACAACTCCCGAAGCGTGGCTGGATTTTCTGCCAATCGACTACTACACAATGCCACCTTGGGTGGGGCCAGAGCTTTGGCCTTGGACGAGATTGTAGGCACTTTCGAGGTATCTGCAGTCTTAGGTTTACAGATTTGCATACCCATCTCTACATAATCTTTTTGCAACTTGATTTCCATAGAATCTATGGACCATAGATGCAATGTTGAAGTCCAAAAATATGGAACAAAATCCAAGAAAAAAATCTCCGATGCTCGCTATATCAACCGAATGCGCTACAATATTTATCAGCACTATTTTGGAATTCAGAAAATGTTCAAAGAAGGCTCTGACAGCATATTCGCTACGGATCAATCTCACCCTAATAATTTTTGAGATTTTTTTTTATACTTCACATAATAGAGGGGTTCTAGACAAGGAAAAATAATTGAATTCAACAAAACATTTTGTTTGATCATGATAAAAATGGATTTAATAACAGTTGTAACCAGCGAAATGACTTTTTTGAAAGGCAAAAGCATCGAAAATGAATAATTTTCAAGTTTCAAAAAACATACTATTCGCGACTCTTTAGTTCCCTTGCTGATCAGTTGAATTCAAAGTACTTTTTAGATTGGTAAACAACTGGACTTTGTTTCGTTCGATCTGCAATCGCCAATCCTACAAGGACTCAATGCTGATACTATCATCGACGGCATCGTTTTCAGTTGCGATAATAGAGAGATTAAGAGAACTGTTGTGTGTGGGATAACTCGCTTCTGTCAATGAACAGAATATACTGCCGTTAGCTTTATCAGCCCAATTCTTGCCAAGCTTGTGATGAGATTTCTTGTTGTGATTGCTATATCATTTTGCTTTTTCTTCTCGGGACGGGTCCAGATCGCATAGTTTATAAAACTTACTCGTCCTTTATCATAAACGTTACATTCCCTATGGCTATGCTGTTGTGAAAAATTGAATAAAATGATTTCACTCACCGTTGAACAGTGATCGACGCAAACATCAATGGTGCAACGAATTCGCACTCGACGAGATCCGTCGAAGCGGAACACCTGCAGAAAAAATTATTTATTCAGCTGAGCAAGATTTGCACAGAAAGAATAGATTGAAGTAGCCAAGAAGGGAACTTTAAAATGGTATCTGCAAATAATTAGAAGGAAAAAAGATCTCCACAAAATTCTCGAGTATTTCAAAAACTTTCTTGAAAACCAAAAATCAAATATTAATTGCTAACAACATCGTTTTTGCCATGAATGTAATTGCTTGTTTCATTTAAACAAAGGCACTTTAACTTTTGTCAAAGCTCGCTTTTCAGATGTAGTCCCCACTCAGCAACAAGTATAAAAAGGGGACAAAATAATAAAAAAATTGCTTAGATGCGCATTTTGTCTCTACTGATTTTGTGGATATTGTTGATAATTGCAGCGCAATGCATATGTTTGAAAAGGAAAGAAAAAGGAGAGATCTGGTATAGAATCTATACGAAACAGGACAAATCTACTCAAAAGCCTCAATCAACTTTGCACTGTTTTCTAATTTAGATTTTCGATTTGGAGCTGCCTATACCGTATAAAAAGTCTTTAGATAACGAGCATACACATGAGATGGAACATTTTTCATGCTTTCAGTCGGAAAGCAGCAATCAAGAACGATAGCTATTTATCGCCACTGACTTACGCTAATAACAACTAATTGTTGATGATTATTTTGACATAACTGCAATTTTCGCCTGAAGCAAGAGTGCTCACATTTCCCTTCGGTGCAACATATTTACTTGTAGTTTTAATCACAATGAACAATAGTTTTGGCAAAACAGACTAACATCCGCTTTTTTGGAAATGATCGCGCTTCTGTAAATTAAATTCAGAATTTTTCCTTTTGGCAATTATATCCTAACTTTTCATTTGTTTTATTCTATATAGGATATCTATGAATGGAGCAATCTATCGGGTGAGGAATGCACAATGAGCTCTTCTCTGTGATGCTGAAACATGTACTGGACTTTTGTGGCTTCATGTGCTGCATAAAAATCTAAATTTCCTTATTAGAAGGTCTTTAGAATTTAGAAAGTTGTAGAATTTCAAAACGATAAATGTCTATCCATGAAGGGAACACTAATTATTATGAGCAGAAAGGCATGTTTAGTATTGAAAAAGTCGTTACCTTTAGCTTCGTTGAAAATCCATCAACTTCTCGTACAATCGGCGAGTTGATCAATCGATTCTTCACCTTTTCAACAGGACATCTGTAAATAACAATGACATAACAACATTCTATCAATAGCTCAAATCTTTTTGCTATTGTAGGGTGCTACGCGGCAACAACGAACGTGCGGCCCTGTGGCCTAATGGATAAGGCGTCGGTCTCCTAAACCGAAGATTCAAGGTTCGAGTCCTTGCTGGGTCGAAATGTTTTGCATTCAATGCCGATGCAAAAATGTGTTGTAAGATGCCTAGTAGAGCAAATTTCTAAGCATTCGCTTGATGATTTGACAAAAATCACTAATAAACAGTACGTTTTGGATTCACCACACATTTCAAGCCAAAACATGATTTTCATTTGAGACATGAACAATTTCTGGAAATTTTTACTGTGAAAACAATTTATGAAATGTTACCCATGGTCAATAAGCTTTAGTGGTTCCGGTTCCGGTGGTGAGCCACCAACTCTCTCTGCTTTGCATTCGTCCACAAAGTAACCAAGACCGTCTGATGTGTCCGTAACTGCAAATTCTATTTTTTTTTTTTTTTGAAAAACAGCATAAGAAAAAGTGCACAAAAATTACTTGTCCATCGCAGTTCCACTTCCTCGCCAAGAGGTACGGTAGTGACTGCTTGACCATTTCTAAGAATTTGCATATCTATACGAGTAGATGTCACTTCATTCGCTCCTTCGCTTGTGATGGTTGTTGAGCTGTAGAGAAGATTTTAGTCATTCCAAAAAAAAATCGAAATTACAGTAACAGACCCCTTTTCTTTTTCAATCTCAGTGTAATCGCACGATACATTGAACATCCTATCCGTTGAGGTTACCAATGAGGGTGAGCCCATGTCGTTTTTCTGTACAATGACAGAGAACGACCACATCGATGGAGCCTGAAGAGTAGGGTCAAAGAGATGGATAAATCGAACCTACGAACAGGGCTCGGCACGAGGTGGCTTTCCGAAAATGCAAAAAACGAAGTCCCTCCCCCCAACTTTCGCAAAATTTTACGAACGAAGTCCCCCCCCCCCCCCCAATTTTCGCAAAATTTTACGAAGTCCTTTCTGACGCTTATACAAACTCGAATCGACTGAAACAAATTTCGGATCCACAAAAACGATATCCCATCAGACAATCGCAAATGACTTCTGGAGGAAGTTCTAAAATTCCGGACGAACATTCCCATTGGAGCTGCCAGGTAGGGCGGGGCCAGGTAGGGCAGGGTCCAATAGGAGCAACCGTCCCGGAAGTTTTAGAAGTTCAGTTTTCCCCGGAAGTCTTGCGATTGTTTGAGCCTTGCTTTTTGTCTCTAATCCACCTCTGCCGAGCCCTGGCTATGAAAGCAGAAGTGAGCTTCAATCAAAATCAGATTTAAGTAGATGGAATAAATAAATAAAAGTTTTCTAAATTTATTTGTCAAACATTAGATGATTGGCATCAGTTCAGGAGAAACGCTTCCAAATGATGGAAATTTTCTAAATATGATTCAACGAGTTCAAAAGAAAGACTATTGACGTTAATGAGGAAAATGAATAATGAATATCCTGAAAAAACGAAAATGGGAAGGATGCCAGGACGAAAAGGTGAATGGATTACTGGGCTATGGACAGTTGGAGCGCATTCAAAGGATAAGATTATGAAAGTATGTGTTTTGAAAGGCAAAAAGATCAAAATTAAATTATAAATGAACAGACAATTACTTGAATGAAAGAAATAGAGTGAACGTTTACATAAATGAACGGGTGGCTGTTTTTCAAACGCATTTGAATCAGCGAATAAAAAACTCTATAGATGACTGTCATCTTCGACAAATGAAAAGAATGATTGAATAATAGACAGGATAGTTTTACTCACAATTTCCGTTCCTGGGCATTTCGGATTGGGATCATCGTTTGTGGGAAATGGTATGTTTAAAAATGATGTTGTCGCATTCGAAAACTCCATGCGACAGGTGGCAAAGTGATCCTAAAAAATGAATTTATGCTAAGAAATTTTAACTGTACCCTGATTCAAATGGCGGCTGGAAGGCGGGGCTTGACCTAATTAAGGCTAGGTAATGATCAGGCACACGTCACACAGTCTGCGTCTCCCTGTGGCTCACGCGCACAGGAGGGACGCAGACTGCGTCGCGGGCGCGAAAGGCCTTAATTAGGTCACGAAGCCCTGCCTTCCAGCCGACAATCCAGTTGAATCGAAGGTTACATAGAGATACTTTTCTACAAGAATTCTCCCTTTTGTTTTTTGAATCCTTCAACCAATATTTGGCATTGAAGTCTCAAAAATCATATTGAATTTTTTCTTGGCTTCAACTCGTTTTGTTAAAGAGCACTACCTTGATGTAGATGGATCCTGAGGTAGGGCTGGCAAACTCGACATTTACATTAATCCCCGACATATGACATACCGAACTCAATCCTTAAAAAAGTTATTTTGGTAGATCTCTTCGTATTAACCAAGCATGAAGAAAACGAGGAGAATTTTCAAGTAGACGACGGTTTTTTCTGTATTTTGAAGAAAAAACTGTAATAAACAAACTGACGAGCTTTGACTGTATTGGAAGTGCGCTGCACGTTCTCGAACTCAGCCATGTCATCGATGACAATGCCTTCGGCTTCTGCCTCTTTCTGACCGACGATATTGGAGGTGGTAGTGACATCGTCGTCATCCGGTGGTATCGAGGTCATTATATATCTCACAGCTTTCGAGACTTCTTCTTCATCAGCTCGAACAAGGGATGTCTGGAAAAAGGCCGCTCACTTCAACTGACCATCGTCAAGTTTACCGGATGATCATTACCACTCTATCATCCTCATTCGTGTCTATAGCATTCGACTGCGGAATGTTCGTAACTCCTTCAACGGCACTACGTTTGGCAGCAGGTGCAGGATCGCAGACTTTATCAAAATAATCGGTGTTCTCAGCCGGGACAAACAGTTCAGGGTTCGAGAATTGGGACGTTTCAGATAGGGAGCACAGGTCCTGAAAAGATTTGAAAGTGGGTACAGCAGTCATTTGAATGATATTTTATGCATTGCACATGACCGCAAGGCTTGTTTTTGACTCTTCAAAAAATCTGATTTTTTTTTCTTTTTTGGTCACGAATAGGTACAAAGTGGGGGTCCCAGGATTTCCGTCCGGGGAGGGGGAGGGGGCGGAAAAAAAATTTTTTCACTGAAGGGACGTGACGTTAGCCACGCACTCCGGAAAATTTTTTGGAGTGCTTCTCAAGATTTTTGCGGGCCCCCAATCCCTAAAATCTGGAAAAAGGGGGCGTGGCTGACGCCACGCCCCGAAAATTTTTTTTACAAGGCTTATTTGATTACTAAAAATTTTTAAAAATTGTTTCAATTGTTTACAAGAATAAACAAGTCACTTGCGCACCTTTCCTTCTTCGCTTACCCGAATGTGAATTTCGAATTTGTACAAAAACCAACTCATTATGTACATACATACTCACCTTCCCGTTCGCACCTATTCCCCCTCTCCAGCCCCACTATGAGCCCACTTCCCATCTCTAATTTTTTTTTCACATCCTTCCTTCCTGCTACACTTCCCTTCCTTCCCTTCCCCAACATTGTGAAGATCCCACTTTGTGCGGAACCTCCTCAATTTCGTTGTAACTCGTTCAAGAGACTGAGCGACTCCGTCAGTGTCACGATCGAGAACTCGAAATTGCCCTGCCAAGCAGGTTTTCTCGGCTCGTTAGACTAATTTTCGGTGGTTTCACAAATCCACTTGGTGTCCGTTCGGTTGAGTAGCAATGCTGTTCATGTCACTTTCATCCCGAAAAATTCTTGAGGAGGAGGGTAAACTCTTGAAGGATCGATTTCCAATGCAAATGCTTGCAAAATGTATGTATAAAAACTCAGATGTTTTGAAAAAGCCAAAGAGGTAAAAGAATTGAGCTACTCTATTAAAAAATATGTATATTTAATCAGAATTCACAACCTAGGATTCAAATTGGGGCACTTTCGCTTACCCTGACCTCGTCCTCCCACCCCTCCATTTTCTCGCCTTCATGTTTCTTCATTTCCTTTTTCTTTTTTAACTTAAACGACAATCTGTGATGTGCTTCTCGCTTCACCTTGAACCCCCCAAAAACGCGAAAGATGCCTATTTTTTTAAGGCTTTGGGGATACTGTAGCCTAGTAGGTCAGGAATTTTTTTTAGCACTTCCTCTATGCTTCCATTATTTGATTTCTTGTAAAACAGAAAGTTGCCAATTTCTGATCGTCATTTAGCTGTAAGCCAGAAAATTGCCGAAGAAAGACAAAATGAAATAATCTAATAATCTCGAAGACTGCAATGAATCTTTGGTGCAATTGCACAAAAATCTACTTACGATATCGTAGTTATATACAGCTGTAGCACATTGTGCCCCATCTTCAAGGCATGTGGCAAGGCATTTGTGTATGCTGGTAGAGCCGAATTCCTAGAAGAGCACCATTTCAGGGAGCGGACAAAAAAATCATCTGGTGCAATGCACCAAGACAATTTTTTAAATATTGACTTAGCAATTTCAGTAAAATGCTAGAAAATATTATATAATATTATATAAAATAACAGATTTACGAATCATTGAAATGAAAATCGCTTCTTTATGAGGTGCTTGACCGCCTCCACACAGATCGAACCGATCATTGTTTTCACAGAAGCTATTTTTATTCCTAAAGTTTGGATATTGCAAATGATCAAAGATCAAAAAGTTGCAGGGCGCAACCCTGGTTACAATCTCGGAAAATCTCACAATGCTCAGATTTAAAGTACTTTCCACATTGCCAATAGATTCAAAGATTCATGATCCCATGACAAACTTTGAATTCTATGGACTATCAATAGTTCGTAGATTTCAAAGTTCGATGTTTGACGCCATTAATGAATTGACTGTACACTTCATTCTATGTAAAAAGTGTTTACATCAATATGAGTGTACGTTAATAAGCTTTAACAAAAAAATTACTGCAGATGCCCTTTGATGCATTAATGACTTTTAAAGAGTGGATCGTAAAAGTGGTCTTTTACTAATTCGAAATGCTTTCCTTTTTGGCTATAAAAAGGTAACAACAAGTACTGGACCTTTCACTTTCTGCATATCCATGAAGTCACTTTCATCACTTCCCGTGGGTATTTTTTCCTAACAACAGATCTGCTTGGGTTATTTTAATCTTTAGATAATGTGCATCATTATCGCGGCAGTTTTCGTTCATAAAACTGTGGGATTCAATCCCTGGAGGCTCCCAGGGAATGATTCGTGGGATTACTACGGCGAAAATGACATAGTTCTACCCACAACTACAAGGAAACCTTCCTGCTCTGTTGAACCGCTGACAGCCAAGGCTTGGGAGGAGTTATATTTGAATGGACTAGAAATCAGATGTTGATAGCCTTCCACCATTCTTTGGCAAAGTGCCAGACAAAAGGAGCAATATTCTCAGAAAAAGCTATCATCAGGTAAGTACGAAGACGAATACTCACAAGTATCAAAAAGCCAAAGTGTTCTTGAAATTTACAAGTTATTTTACATCGGTTTATGGTCGGTTTTGGAAAAAAGAAATACTTTAAAGTCTTCTCTTCAGTTTCAGGAGAAGGACGCAAAGTCTAGTATGTCATTGCCAGGAGAAGAAATCTAAGAAGTATGAACTTATTTTTCCAAAAAATTAGGCCATGTTTTTTTTTTATTCTTTGACAAAATTATGTTTTCCATGTATTACTTTATTGTACAAATTGTAAGGCGACCAGAAGTTCAACCTGGAGTTAAGATATGTCCATTTCATACGACGAAAAAATCGCTTGAAATGCTTGAAGATCAAAAATACCCACATGCAATGAAACAATAATAAAAACAAGTAGAATCAGACTCACCTTGTACGGTATGGATGTCATTTTTCTGTCCGGGACTTGCTCAAAACTTGCATCTTTGCAGGCGATTGATACTAAAAAGACTTTTCAAACATTAGTTTTGAAATCAATGAGTCAAAAGGACAGAAGATTGAGCTGGGGTACAAATTAAGTTGCTCTTACCTTGTAAGCAGTACTTTTCAAAATATTCACCACTTGATATCGGATTCAGATTGAAAGAGTTACCGCGATGGCCTGTGTACCTGTAACCCAAACAAATGAATTGTCTATGATTGGATACTTTCCAAAATGTATAAATATTGTTATTTTTACAACTTACCCTGATTCGGCTGATAAATGGCATTCACTTTTGCCTGAATTGTAAACAAAAGCTCTGCAAGGAAATCGTTCTGTTCCGATGAGATTCACCTAAATCAAACAAAGTAGATAAATGCGTAGGTGGTTACCAACGCAATAACTGGTAGCTCGATTTCAAAGGTCAAACACTAGCAATTCACCTGACAAACAGTTCTGCACTCTTCCATGCTCATACTCTCAATAATAACGTCCTTCTCATGGCTTATAGAGTACTCTTCAGTCCTGATCCAATGTAACTGTCCGGAGAAACATTGAACTGCAATGATTAGATTTTAAAAATAGAAGACCAGATAAAAAGAACAATTTTTTTTTGAAAAACTATCACTTAGGAAAGGATTCGACTTTTTTGTATACATTTTGAGCTCAAGTTTGTGCAGCATCAAAATCTTTCTGCATCTTCACTATCATAAGAATTTACCCATACGCAACGATTCGCAGGCTTCAGAAACACCGTGCATGACTCGCAGGCATCAGGTTTAGCACCTTGTGTCATCACTATTACCGCTTCGGTATCACTTTCTTAAGCCACGCTCACTTTGTGCTTTGTAATCAAATATAATTCTAAATCATATCTGTCATAGTGTAGAAATTTTTGCAGGTTTACACTTCAAGGCACAAAGAATCTGCAGAAAACTTTTAACATATGATTCTATCTTATGTGGCTTTCAAGCTAGGGCTCATAAATAAATAAATATAAGTCGTATAAAGCTCAGAAGCCAAAAGCCTCACCATCCAAACAGTTGTTCTCGAAGTAGTCTACCAACTGATCTTGGACTCCTTCCAAAAACAAATCCGGCTTGTCTGTTCGTCTTTCTCTGTTTATGATGCATTCACCGGATTCATAAAAGTACATCAGCGAACGACACTGGGTATTTAACGTTGTGGACGCCGTCAAACATCGCGACAGGCATTCAGAAAGTCCGGAGACAGAAAGTACCTGGAGGAAACAGATTGGGAAGCGGGGATCCGGAAAATGGAGTCAAGAAAGAATAGGCATGAAAGACTATTTCTCGTATAATTTTGTTCTGACTTACTTTCATAGCATGTCCGATGAGCAAACTTTGCGGATATCGCTCGAAGGCGAAAGGGGCTGGGCAAAGGGATTGAGCTGCAAATACAAATCCACTGAAAGATTAGTTTACAGGATATTAAAAGAGGCTCTTCGATCAGAAAATTCCGCAAAAATCAAAGCGGAGGAAAAATTAATTTAGTTGTTTTCAGTATTTTCAAGTTTTTCTTCTCTTGTAGTTCTTTTTCCATCCTCTTTTCCTTCTATGCCTTCAAATTCATCATGAATATTTGAATACAAATGAATATTTCCCATTACTGTTCCCCATAACCAAACATCCTTAGTCTCATAAAGTTAACTCACATATATCTAATTACATTAGCTTTACTGTCCCGCTCAATAAAATCAGAGAACCCGGAAAGCTGCCGCTACCATAATGGAATAGTAATTTTCATAGGCGACTTCTTATATATTCACACCAATTACGGCGATGACGTCATGTTTTTAATTGATCCCATCTCGAAACAGTTTTTCTACCGGAATTGTTTTAGAGGTATGCAATTGACAGGAAAATAGTGTAGATTACCTTTGTGCCTAAAGTAGTCACCGCAATCGATTTTGGAGAAAAACAAGAGGATCTTCTATATTTAATAATCTCTATGGGTCTGGTAAGAAACAAGTGCAGCGAGAAAAGTGCAAAATTCAAGACTTGTGTTTTTCAATGACTAAAGTCTCGGAAGATTACTTTTGTATATGATAGCTTGTCACGATTACCCAATTTTGAATGAATATTGATGTTTCAACATATCCCGCAACGAGCTTCTAAATCTTAACCATGTTACATAGAGGATAATGTTTTTCTAGTCTGTGGGTCACGAGTTGGTGAAGAATTGAGTTCTAGTATACTCAAATATTTTTGGGGATAGAAAAATCTCTAAAAAAAACAGCGTCGAAAAAAATCACGACGGGTCGGAAAGGCTGCATACAAATGCTCAAAACCTGTTCCTGAATACGAAATGACAATTTTCGAGAAGAAGAAGGGGTTAGTTTTTTGGACGCAAAACATGAGGTCAGCACTCACAATTCACACAGATATGCTGAAAAAACGCTACAGGAGCGTCTGACTTCGCCAATACACTCGGTCCAAATGGCTGACCATCTTCGGCATGTATCGAGCATTCTTGTGATTTTGCATCGTACTCAAACGACGAGCAAACATGGCCCTAAACTCGCAAGCTTACCATAATGTGAGAAGAAAACAAAGAGAAGTGTCTGAAGACATGCGTTCGATTCCGTAGTGCATGCATCAGCACATGTGTTCAAGGTAACGTCTTTGATGGTGTGGGTGGCAAACTCCATGAGACGAGTTCCTTCGGATCGCAAGTATGTCGTGGCATTGTCCCCACTACATAAGGCACCTAAATCAAAATATAGAGAGCAGAACTGTAAACATATCATTCATTCTCTGATTAAGGCCGTGGGCATACCTCACGCGATTTCAGTCGATCTGGCACTTTGCCAGATGTCTTCAAACTCAAAACTGACGGACCCCAAATGCACAGCAGTATAACGCAAACTAAGGAATGCCCTATCTTTACATTCAGGAACCCCTTACGATGAGTTATGGACAATGGAATATTGCCAAATCGCATCGCGGTGGAAATCGCGTGATGTATGCCCAGGGCCTAAACGACACGAGCACGCTTTGCATCTGACTAACAAGTTTAAACCATTGACGACGATGTGGACCACCGGTGGCCCACGCACTTTTTGCCGCCAGGGACGATGTGGACCACCGGCGGCCCACACGCCCACAAAATCATATTTTTTCCAGGTCTAGTCTTTTTTCTACAGTTCAGTATTTTTTCCAATTTTTTGCACTCTTGGAACCTATAGACTTCGTCGTCCAAGAAGATGGCTGTAGTTGTTTACAAAACATTTTTGCATTTTGCAAATAGTCACAAAACTTTCCCGCGCCGCAATTGTTGTGCAAAATCGCGTCGTCCCACAGCGCCGCCACGCAAAATTAGGCGTCGTCGTCAATGGGTTAAGAATGCGTTTTAACGCGTTTTGGTAGATTACTGTTAGAAAAACATGATAGAACATGTTCAAACTCTTGCTTAACAACCTAGAACATGTTCTTTCACGAATACTTAATAGTCGTTCGCCAAAACGCGAAACGCGCTCATAAACTTATCAGTCAAACGTAGGTAAAGCGTGCCCGTGTCTCGTAGTCAGAAAATGAATTTAATGTAGTAGGTTGATGCTTAAGTCTTGCAACAAAAAATAGCTGAACTATGCTAAACACATTTTATGAAAAAAAGTGCTAGAACTTGTAATGCATAATCGAGAGGTTCTTTGAATCAAAAGGAAAAATTCCATAATTTAACAAAACTATCCGTGAAACATCCGATTAACACCAATTTTCTTAAATTTGAAAGTACAAATATGAGTCCACAACCAAAAATAAGATTGGATTTCAGTAGAGTTTCAAGCAATTCTAGCGACTAAATCTTGGACACCGAAAAAAACCCTTTTAGATGTTTCTCCTAATCAGCTCATATCGTCATAATCTGATGAGGACTTTTGATTCAAACCTTTATATTGCACGAGATTGTCTTTCCAGCTTGTGCCAAATGAAGAAAATTCGTAAATTATAAAGATTATGGAATTCCAAAAATTTTGGTGCAAGACTTGAGCATGAAGCTAACATTTCGTATATTTGGCAACGATTTGTATCATATTTCGTGGAGATCCTCCTAGAAGTTCTCAAAGGTAATATTTTTCAAATATTTCACAATTGCCGAAGAAGTCAGACACACAGCACATAGTTGGCAAATATGAGGATTAAATCGGTTAAAATGCACACATAAAAACGGTCCTATATGACCTCAATGTAAACTTCAGGGGTCATTTCCATTCGAGCAAATTCCTCTCAATCATAAATTTAGCAGTCAAGTAGTGCAAAAATGATTGGAATCTTTGAGGAAAGGTTAACTGGAGGGGTATTTAGTAAACAAATTCGGTGTTTTGGCTTTGAAGGTTGACGATGATTTGACTCAAATTAGCTGCTTGCGTTTTAGTGAGGTTACGATAGCCTTATTTGGGTCATCTAATATTAATGGTTTGTTTTGAAGTACTTTTGAGCTCTTGAACTAACAAGTGGTATTATTTGGATCTTCGCAGCATAAATTAGACAGATTAGTCAAAAGCGACAAATATCGGCACTCACCGATAAAAACAACATTTTTGCGCATGTCTTATTCAATGGTGTCTTGCTCTTTCTCGGTATTGATGCGAAGATGTGGAGGTAGCATTTGGGAGAGCGTTATAATACTAGTGATTTTTTTGAAAAAATTAAAGATTTTTTTAGTTACAAGATTCCCGCCGCCGAAATATCTTACAGATTAGTTACGAAAATTATCGTCAACAACTTCAAATTACGTACAGGTAACTACACTATAAATTGGCTGCGAACCCATGCATTAAATTACTGGCAATTGAATCTAAGCTAACACAGGCTTATGTAGGACTCATTATTTAGAGGCTCACACGAAAATTTGAAACCATCAACACCAATTTTTGTAAGAATTCTAAGAATTTGTGCCAATATCAGAAGTTTTCAGCGAGCAAGTGTATGTCACGATGTCACTGTCTTTGAGAAAAGCAGCTTTGTAATTTCAATGATACCTACGCTGGGATGCAAGTCTACATTTAATTAACATCGGATATGCTGATATTCAACGAACTCGCTAACAACTTTCTTTTAGAAGCAACATTATTATTATGGAAATAATCGTACACCATTGAATGGCATTGTTCTGAGATTCTTCAGCGTTTTCGGGGCACTTTTGTGCTTGCATTCCGTTTGTTAACGGTAGTGAAAAATGATTTTGTCCAAACTATTGATTTAATACACATGTACCAAAAGAATCCCGCATGACATCATTTCTATTGACCCTGGGATCAACTAAAGAAAAAAGGAAAGAAAGTGAAAACATTTCGCCATGTCTCGATTTCACTCCTCACGTGACCAAATCCGCCGAGTTATAATTAGAGCGTGAAAAGTTCAACAATGCGGTCATAATCGGTATACCTGTCCACTTTCACTCGAATTTCCTCAAATAGGGGTCTAGTGCTAACATCTATGCTTACGTAATCCAAGACAAAAGTGAAGGAGTGTAACAACTTGAGAGCCTAGAGTAATCTAAAGCATATAACTTATGATGTACCTACATATAGTAAGGGAGAATACTGAGAACTGCAACTTGCTGAATTGCAAGCAGCATAGAACATTTCTAGTGTCCGTTCTGCACATGGTATGTTGTGTAGCTGCTTAATCGAGCGGCTTTTTCAAAAGAAATCTAGAATTTGAACTCTTATCAAAACTCATACAGACTTTTCTCGAAAATTCGAAAATGTCAACGGCTTTCGATGAAATAAATCAGCTCGAATTTTTACTCGAGAATCACTTTTTTCGGAACTATTTTGCAAAAATTATACAACCCAATGTCATCACATGGATTCATTCGGGTTTCGACTCCAAATTCTGGCCCTAAGGCTTCGGGCTGAGTTCAAGCGATTTTATCGTCGCGATGCAATCGCGGCAAGACAGCTACGAGTTCATTGCATGCCGATCAGCTTGCATTTCGGTTGCGATACTTTTCCAGCACGAAATCTCTAAATGTAAAATGAAAATGAATGAAAATCGCGGCGATTAAAGCGCGACGATCAAATCGCGTGAACTGTCCAAGGTCCAAGAGATTCAGGACGATGTTTATGTCAATAGCATGAGGACAGTGAAACAAGTGTTCCACATTTATGTTTTGAATTTCACCTGCTTTACGCCTTCAAATCAAATAGTCATTCAATTTTCAAATGGCCATTGGGTCAAATACTCAGAAGATCCAAAGCCCTTCTATAAGACACTTCGTCTTTTGCGAACCGTAAAAACCATCAAGTAAATCCTACACAAATTTTATATTGTAGAAAAAATAGTTTAGATTGGAAGATGACCTAGAAATCAACTTGTATTCAAGTTGAGACGCAAAACAAGTTACGGGTTTTTGAGCAAACCCTCAAGTAAATTTGAGTGTAGGTGCCAAAAGCGAATATCATCGCTTGTCTGAGAATCTTCTTTTTCAATATCCTATCTATTTTTAGCATGCAAAGTGCGCAATGTTCTCGTTCTGTTCTGGTCTTAGTAGCAAATTCTCAGGTTCTAAAAAAAATCTTTGTTGACCCCATTCGTGCAAATTTCTTTTACGACAATGCTGTTTCGATTAATGATTAACATAAATCCATAATTTTTATTGTATCATCATCATCACACTAGAACTACAAGTAGTTTTTCCGGACTCAATTTATTTGAGATAAAATGAAGAAGAGAAAATGTGGACTCGCGCGGGTTTGACCAGAACTAAGTATGAACAACGGGAAATAGAGAAAAGACACCGAATAAAGAAGGGAAAAAAAATATAGACCATATCGTATCACTCGGCAAGAAAGAACAGAATTGTGTTCAGCGCATAGAAGAGAGCGAAAAAATAATAATGAAAAAAAGCACACATTAAGTATGAAAAATTCACTGGTTGGTGGAATGAGATCAACCTCACACACGGGGTGGTGGGGAGGGGTCATATATTATGAACGGGGTTCGAAAAGACTGGGGTAGAGACAGATAGAATACATATATAGGCAATTGCTTCACCAAATAAATTTGCAGAAAAAATAAATTGGGAAAAAGAAAAAATGAGAAAAGCAACATTTTTTGTGTAGAGAAAAAGCACCTACCATGCGCTAAGGATACACCACCGGCTACAGTAATCAGAATAAATAATAGATGTGCAGATAACATTTGATTGGATCTTGTGAAGAAGAAGAAGCAGTGAAGATGGGATAAAGCGCCAGCGCTCGCGCGGATGAATGAGCCAGCGGCGAAGTGCGGACGAGTCGCCTCGAGAGGGAGTGTCTGACCTCGTTTGAGAGTCAGTGGAATTTGTAATTATCGCTTGAAGAACTCGACGACCGACCGCACTGTCGCCCTCGCCGCATACCCGCCCGAACTCGCCGACGGGGGACCTCAATTATTTCAGAGAGCGAACGCGACGAAGACGATGTGATGAGACGGAAGGCTATGTGGTGTGGAGGGGGAAGGGCAGAAGAAGGCGCCGGCAGCGGAAAGATCCACAGGTTTTATTGATTGTATCGATCGCACAATGTCCAGACCGGGTGCTTGATCACGTTGAAAGCATGCACCTGATCGGGCGCTCATACCTGATCAGGAGCTTGTCTTCAACCATAAGTAAGCACCCGATCTGAACATCGGAAGATTGATACATAACTTCCAAGTTTGAGATAATATTGATTCGTGGATCTCCCCGCCAAGGATCGAGGTAGGACTAAATACAGTAAGGGGAAAGCGATACCGAGGATATATATGTGGATGAAAGACCGAACAGACACCGCTCTATGTGATCGACTCGTCAAATGGACAAATAATAATAAGAGATAAGAAACAACAATGAAATTTTTTCATAGAAAAATATTTTTTTGTATTTCTACAGTTATTTTACAGGTTTAGGCGGGTTATCCACAAGTTTTCAGGTGAAGATAGTTTGTGATTTATTGCAGAACTTGTTGTCACTTGTTTCGATGTGTAAAAACGTGACATGTTGTCAATTAGAGAGCATGTGAATTGAGGAGAGAGCGGACATGGTCCCGAAACGAATATGTCACAGTGCGACAAATCCGCGTATTTTCTTGCTGATTTACTGGACCTTTGATGACTGTCAAGTTCTGCATGAAATGCTACACTATTCATCAAAAACGTCCACGTGGTACAAAATTCAGTCCTAAAATGGCCCAAACCTGCAAAATTTACAATAATTTAGTTACACAAGCCAACACAGTTGTCGTTGAATATCCCGCGCGTGTGGAACTTACGAAAAACTTCGGGAAGAATGAAACCGGTAGAAGTACACAAAGGAAAAATCAGCACAAGATGCACTTATTTGGAGATGCGAACTACACTAACATAGATTCAGGCTTCACTTCCATTTTGAATGGAAGTGTGGTTTGGCCGGCAGAGATTGGCAGACCGGGCAGTAAGCTGGTCGGGAAGAAGCTGTCGAGCAGCGACGGTGGCAGTGGAGCTGGTGCTTGGGCCAGCGATGGCGCCGGCGCCGCTGCCGATGGCGGCGGTGGCTGTAGCGCCGTAACGTTGTGGCTGAGTAACGACAACAGAGCGTCGTTATTCTGGAGTTGTTGAATGAGTAGCTGAGTGTTGAGGAGTTGTTGAGAGAGAAGATTTGGCAGTGGTAGAAGTTGAGCGGATAGACCGCTGTCGACAAGACCTAAAATGCAAATTCTGAGTTGATTTTAAAGAAGAGCCTTCAAGCTAGTTGGCCCGAAACTCAAAATCCTAAACTTCATCGAGGGAACACCCAAGGGAATGAATAACCCCATATGAGACAGTGACTGTGAATATCCCATTGATTTTGCACGGTATCGCCAACTCGGGTCACAGGGTTACGGTAGGTAGACGGTAAATGCACGATAAATGCGCAGAAGGTGGTTCAAAGTCTCATACTTGCTCGAAGATTAGTTTAAGGGGTCCTCCGGCAGACTTACTACGATTTTGGTAACCGTAACGCCCAAATTGACAGGTTGTTTTGTTGATCGCAAAGTAAAGATTCTTTATAGTACAATGGAAATTATAACCGTGATCAGCATGTCGAAAAATCCGCTAATCAAAGTAGCAATACGTTTTTGACCATCTACAGTTTACCTACCGTACCGAAATTTACGTTCACGTACAAAATCAGTACACATTTTCATCGAACAAAATACATTCCTAAGCCAAGCTTTGAAGGGATTCACAAACTTGAGTTTGTCAGCTGATTGAGACCAGAATATTACAAATCACTCCCACATTAGCCCCAGAAAACCTACAGTAATTTTACATCTTACAGTAACCTTACCTTTAAGTGCGGCTAGGCCAGGATCCATAACAGCTGATTCCATAGGCTTGGCTGTATAGGATGGTGGATGGAAAGCCGAAAACGCTTCCGGCATTGTCACCTCTGGATGCATTGGTGGTTTTGATGCGGTCAGCGGACCGAAGTCAGGGGGTGGAAGCTAAAAACCATGCTTTAACCCCTGTTATATACCGTAACCTTTCTTCTTACCTCAGTGGCCCTGAACGGAACATCAGCTGGCGGAGTGCCGATATTTGTGGTTGGATGAAATGTGGCATATGGAGATGTTGGGAGTTTGCTAAGAATGTCCGGAACTCTCCATTGTGTGTAATTTGAGAGCGAAGCAACTGAAGTGTTGCTAGTCGGTGGCGAGGTGTCTAGAATGCAAAAAAAAAATATTTTTTGTTCACTTCATTCATTGATAAATAACTTTCCTAAATAAATTGTTTGTTTTGCTTAAGTTTCTGGATTATAAGTTCAGAATCTCGTGACTGCCAGCATACTCATTTTGTTTTAGTGGTCCAAAAAGCCATACCCCTTATTAATCAAATCTTCAAAGACGTCGATTAGCTGGACAAGCAGTTTTGAGTCATCTACTACCCGAATGAGCCGTAATGCTTTTCGCGACGGACTATTTAGTGGTACAAAAGAGCACGCCCCTTTTTGACTTATAAATCTCCCATTGGCTAAATGTAGAGTACTATGTGACGGGTGACGGCAACTCAAGTGAATTCTTCGTACAAATACACACGTGAAATTTATACAAGGCTAATTCAAAGGTAGGGTAAGAAGATAAAACTCAAGCCCCGCCCATTTACCTTCGCAAAATGCGGCGCGACTAAAATGAATGCATTTTTGAAACTCACTGGCATAAATGTTTGGCAGTGAGAAGTCGATTTTTCGGCTACTATCCGAACTATCCGAATCGGTGTCGACATTTACAGGACTTTCTGAGGTTCGGCCAGTTCGATAGGCTTCACATTGTTCCAAATGGATTTTCAAGCCAACTTTTTGAGCGTAACTCTTGCCGCAGGCGTTGCACGAATATCTGCAAATGCACGAGTAAATTACAGTATGCAAGTACTCTCTTTATTCTTACGGTTTCTCGCCAGTATGTACTCGCTGATGCACCTGCATATTGCCTTGGTTGGTAAACGTCTTATCGCAGAATTGGCATCTAAAAAAGATACATATTGATTGATGTAGCAACAGACGCAAGCCCAGAGTCACATTGTCAAGTTCTCTCAATTACAAGGGATAGGGGTATAGGGGCACAACTAGCACTGACAAAAGGTCGACTGCGACCTTTAAACTTTAGCGAGGGGATTACGGTACTATCCTAGATCTACCTAAACGGTCGTTCTCCCGTATGTAGTCTGGTGTGCACGTACAAGCTGCTTGCGTAGGCGTATCGCTTGCCGCAGAACTTGCACATGTAGTCGGCAGACGTCGGCGTTGTTGGCAATTTCTTCTCGAGACCTCCCAAGGTGGGCGTGGTTCCAGGGACTGTGTTCACAGTGACGGCGGCAGCGGACGAGTTGTGTTGCGAGGATGGTGTCTCGGACAGGATCGACGCATGAGTGGCTTCATGAGCGGTGAGTTGGGATTTCTAAAACATCATACTTTTAGTGAAGCGCGCCCACAACATTCATAAAGTGGCAAGCCACGCCCACACCTCAACGTCAACCAATCATACCTGGATAAAGCTCCGCCCACAAGTGCCACAAGTGTACGGCCTTTCGCCAGTATGCGTCCTCTCGTGCGATTGTAAATTTCCTTGACTGGCGAACGCTTTCGGACAGTAACTACAGCGATACGGTCGCTCTCCAGTATGCGTTCTTACATGAACCTGGAATTTTCGAAAAATGCAGAAGCAGCATGGTTATGAAAAAAACTTCGAAACCCACCTGTAGGCTTCCAGCGTAGGCGAAACTTTTGCCACAAAAACGGCAAACATGTTTCCGTTCATTTTGCTCGTGAACTTGCTTCACATGAAGTTTTAGGTAGTTCTTCAGCGTAAAGGTTTTCGGACAAAATTCGCACTGAAAAAAATAAGGTTAGACTGCAGAGAAACAGAGCCAATTTATAGGAATTGAATATGCAGGTAACTTGATTTTGTTTTTGATAGTTGAAATGATTCTTGAATTTTTGCTCCAAAATAGTTTACTATTTTTTAAATGGAAAATTTACAGTTTGTTCTATTTTTGAATTTTTTCAATCGCAAAAAAAAAGGTTAGCAAAAAGTCTGAGGCCTTCCACGCGAAAAACTTCTGATGTCATGACGAGGCAGATGTGATTACAGTACCATTACAATAACCACAAACCTGGAATGTTTTCTCTCCATGTGTCTTTTTATGCGTATATAGGGCACTCGGTGATGAAAGGCATTTGTCACATTTCGGGCACTTATAGTTTCGGATACCTGGAACATTTTCAAACTCTTTTCAGGATCAGCATATATAGTCCGCAATTGCAGAAGAACCTCTAAAACATACCTAAATGAGCGCTCTTCTCGTGTACGGTCTTTGTACCGTACTGAGCAAATGTTTTCTCGCAGTAACGACATTTGTATCTGCAAGGGGTTCAATTTCAATAGCTATTGATTTATTGATTTTTGAAGAAACTTACGGTCTCTCTCCAGTATGCGTTCGCTCATGGACTTGTAACGTAGCCTTTTGAGCAAATTTTTTGTCGCAAAAATGGCAGTTGAACGGTTTTTCGCCAGTGTGGCAACGCTTGTGTGACTCCAGGATTGAGTGATAAGGAAATCCCTGAACACGGTTTCGGTGTGTTTGGTGTAATTGCAGAATAGACTAGGCCTAGGCCAACCTTTCCACAGATATCACAAATATGTCGCTTTTCCACATGATTAGCTGAACTGGGCACACTGAGAACACTGCCGATTACCATGACCTGTAAAACTCGAGAATAACTGTAAAATATTCAAGCGAATAATTTTTACTACCCCCCCCCTCAAGCCCCCTTTTGTAGACATTCTCATTTGTAGATTTTGGTGGTTGGGTTCGCCCAAAACTTTTTTCCGACCGAAGTGACTCTTGTACTTTTAAATAATACTGAATTTACATGTACGAACATGTTAACTTGCTTTCTAACATATGGAAAGCTTGCGATTGGCTGCACGAATGGGGGCGGATTAAGCACCAAACTTGGGCACGGTTTTTCGTGGCCAGGGTCGTGATTGAAGATATGAATGTACAACTTAGCAATACTCATAAAATTATGTATACAATAAGCAGCTCCTAAGCAAAAACAAGGAGAGAATTTTTATGTATACCTCAATTTCATCATTGCCTCAGATTTTGTTTATGTTTACTATATCTGAGAAATCCAGAGCTTAGCGTAACATTCTGTTAATCTCTGATCACAAATGTTACATCACGTATTTACGATACCGGTCAAATATAGATAGGCGGGGTAAATTGTAGTTTGGCGCATACTCATTCGATCAATACTCATCAGAAACATTGTGGTAATCTATGTCAATTTGGACGACAGAATTACATGATTAGAGGCAATCTAAATCTAATAATCAATAATTGAAATTTTGAAAACTTTAGTGATTGAACATTCACTTCGTTGAAATTGAATATCAAGATTTATCGCCTCGCCGTAATTTCAAGACTTCAACCATCGCGATTTTCCTGATTGGCCGATGCGCAAATGGGCGGAGCCAGTCGCAAAACTGCGCAAACTTTTCCATATATTACGTAAAAAGACCAATAATTTAACCATATTTGATAGATGGCATGACAGACAGAGATATGCTGAAATTTCTAGCATCAGATGAATTGCCCTGTGATTTCTGGCTTTCCCTCGCAAGTCATCTGAATGGACAACGCGCAAGTGGGCGGAGCCAGTCGCAAGGCTGCGCATACTTTTCCAGATTCAACAATCAATGCGTATCTCTCATCAATGTTCTTTGATTTGCAATCTTTCGCTCTCGCAAATTTTCTGATTGGCAATATGCAAGTGGGCGGAGCTGCTTGCATATGGCGCACGCTCTTAACTTTTTTGAGAAATAAACGGATTTTTTGGATTCGAAGGACATAGTAACCAGCGTGCGATTTCCATGAACAATTTTTTCTGACCAGAAAGACCAACCTCAGACGAAGTGGATGTCTGCGGTGTGTCAGATGTCATTATCATCGTGGCCAAATTTCTCGGTGATGAAGCATTTGCGTCCGCTTGTGGCGATGAATCCACGGCTGAGGACGATGTATCGCTTGCGTCCTAAAGAGAAAATTCTGATTTGATGCGATTTCTCGCCAATTTCGTAGTAATTAGTGCGAACAAGCTAATTGCCACTTGAAATAGGAAAATTTCACTAACCATTTCATCGATATCTGGCGACTCGACATCAAGTAGTTCATCATCGTCTTCGGCTTCAAGTGCTATACGAAGCGCTTCTTCTTCTTCAGGGCATTCCTCTTCCATTTCTTCTTTCTCTTCAGGTTCTTTCTCCTCGGTATCATTTTCGCTAATTTTCATGATAACATCATAGGGTGGTGCATTTTCGACCTCCACCATGGTTTTTTTAGAGAATGGTGCAGGTTATTTTGATTCAGTTGAACCTTCCTGAAAAGAAGTGTTAAAAGTTCACATGGACGGAAAAAGCACGAAAGAAATGAGAGATCACGAAAAATCACATCTTTAAAGGACAACAAGATATTGATTGGTATACGGTGGATCAATATGATCTACAACTTCCATAGATCATTAAGTGCGCTAAGGGAACAAGCGGAAGTAACAGGATGTTTTCGGCTTGGCGCGCGGCCAAAGAACGCACAGTGGTCAGCAGTGACGGCGAGAGAGTGACGCACTGAGGAGACGCAGACAGTGAAACAGTCATGGATTACGGTAGCCGTAAATCACAGAACGAGATTCGGCCCCGAACCTGAGAATAGATCGAGCGATGATGAGATAACTATAGAAATGATGGGAATGATCGTAATAATGTTGTAATCAACAATCTGCTGATAAAGCTTGAAAAAACAGGAAATTTCAAGAGATTTTTCAAGTTTGAAGATGAATATTGTTTGGACGAGTTACCCTGCCGCAGACTCGAAATATAAGCATACAAAAGGCGCATGTTGAGCTTTTTTTCTTTGTTGACATCGCCTCTCGGCTCTCACCTGATCGCGGCTAAAATCAACAACTGTGCATACAAAAACACATACTATCTATAAGAGCATTTGCAGCAAAATGTGTAATTTTGCGTAGGTTGTGCAAATTTGTGCTCAAACTATTTTTTAGAGTGCTCTGTGAAGTCTGCACTAATATATTAATTAAGCACAGACACTTTTTTGGTCAAGACAGCTACAAATTCTTATTAGAAAGTTCAAAAAGTAGATTTCCTGGAAATGTCTGCAAAATCACGCACTTGATTAAAAAGGCAAAAAAACGTGTCAATGGAAATTGTTCTACACAACCGGGAACAACGCGAACAAAGTAATTTCTGCAAGATTTTGTCATTCTTGAGCTCGTCATTTGCCGTCAAAATTGAAATGTACGCTCTACTCTGCTAAAGCTAAGTTTTTGCGCAGTTTCTGCAAAACTGCGTAACGCTGCCTAGAGTGACTCATTCCAATCATTTTTAGCTGATGAGCTAGTGAAACCGTAGAATTGCGTAAGATGTGGTGACTCAGTGAAACATGATAGTGGAAAAGATGGAAATTGAGGGAAAAAGAATGAGCGACCCATAGGGAGATTAAGATTACAGTAATCTTAGATGTGCATGAATACAAGATGAGGACCAAAGTTGAAAAATTGACAAAAAATGAAGATCTGAGCACTTTTAGAGACGCGAAAATACGGTAAGCATAGATGTGCATGAGATCAAGATACTGTAGACAGAATATACACTATATACTCGTATACTATAGCCGGACGAGTTGCGCGTAGTTCCGCATGAGGCGCAGAGATTATCGGTCAGCACACGAGGCTCGGCCAGCACATACACACATGCATGTTTTCGTCCTAAGCGTGCACAAACGATTTGTGAGGCATCGAAAAACATTAATTAGCCATAGAAGGAAGAGTATTTGCGTTGTATATGTTGATATCCATAACTCGTCCAAACGTCAAAGCCACGCCCACATAAGGGATAACTTTGGAAAGGGAAATTGAAAAATGACGGCTATATGGAGGAACTCTATGGTATTTACACTTATTGCCAGGGCAACAGTGGAAAATTTTGAGGGACGCGAGGAATTACGAAAGCGCATGATGTTTTGTTGTTGTGGTAAACATTTTTCCTCTGATGGTTGATGCTACAAATGTTTTCTATAGGAGGTGGAGATCACGAGTTGAAGAGGAGTACGGTATGTGATTGACCAATGAGGGAATTTACACATAAACGATATTTGATAAACTAATTTATACACATTTGTTAGAATTTGAATTTATACAAAACTAAATTTGAATAATTTAAAATTATATGGATATATTCTTTTTAAATTTACACAAATCTATATATTTATTCTTATGATTCGTGCTGTATCTGAAAACGAAGATTTCGTTTATCAAAGTTTAAAATTATAATTTAAGATTTCAAAAGTGCTCGTCAAATTCCGGGTAAATTGTGCAAATGCACCACGCTCAATTTCTAGCACACGACCGCATCGCTCATAACTGTAAATAGAGATGCTGGTTCCATTCCAGTTTTCGTAAAAGCTAACATGGAGCCCCTGTAACTACTAAAATAATGCAAATATGAAATTTTGGAAAAGTTAAAATATAGAACTTCTCAATTCAAAGTATGATGTGTCCTATCGTAAAATGAGTAGTAAAGGTCGTAATGCGTGTCAAGCGCTGCCTTTTCGTTCGAAATTGTATTTGTTTATTCATTAGTTAATGGCTAGGTCATCATGTTTGCCTACATAATCATGTCGCCCTGTTTATTTTTGTTTACTTTGGGTAGTCTAACGGATAGCAAACTATCAGCAAAGGACTATTCTAAGCCTGGGGTCGAAAAAAATTATAAAGAGGGAAAATTTGTAATGAGAAACGCAAGAACGATTTTTTTTTGAAGAAAACAGTAGTTCTTATCGTTCTCCGCAATTTTTTTCGCCCTCGCCAAAGCTTGCAAAGCAGCTGTTTACTTCAGCGCCGTGCACGCAAAGTGCACGTTTTTTTTTGCGTCACAGCGGCGGCGCGACTGACCAGTGGTCAACGTGTTGGGCGGCCACTTGCATGTGCCGCCGCTGCCCGGCGGCTATTTGTGCACGTACACGCGGTGGCTCGGTAGCCGCGCCGCAGCATGCATTTTGCCGCGCCGCGGGCGTTTTTTGGTGTTCGTGCGTGCTGGCTGGCACGCGTTGCCCTGTGTTGTGCACATGCGCTATCAGAAAACAACAACAACCAGGATACCGCGTGAGCGTTTTCTGCGAAAATTGCTCTGGTCAGCAATTTTGGCCCCTATGAGGTGCTGAAAGTGAACGGATGTTTAGGCTGATAACAGCTATAAAAGGTGTGAAGAGGGGGGGGAGGTGGAGGAAGAACTTAAGATGCCTGTTAAAATTTTTGCCTATTCAGTCTCTTGAAAAAAAAAATTTGCTCCAATGACTTCCAAATTCTTTCTTGAAGCCAGATTTCTGTTCCCTTGAATTTATTTTGGAATTTTATAGTACTTTATTTCTGTTCCCCGAAAAATACATAATTTGTACCAAAAATTCTAAATCAGTAATTTTGAAGTCAAATTAGTTCTTGCGTCGCTGACAACACTTACGCGTAAAAATAATGTTTACTTCGTATGCGCTATTCGCAAGCAAATAGGTGGGTCAACTAACATGGTTTTTTTCGCGCAGATGTTGTTTTCACCGCAGAATTCAGGTTAGATGCTTAAATTTTTTTGAAGCCTGCCTGCCGCCACTCCCCCTTTTTCAAAGGTTTTATGCTTATGGGTCCGCTAAATATTAGAAAAACAAAATTTTCGGAATGTCTTATCGAGACTCACATCCACTCGAAAAAAAATTCCCCCCTCCCCCGAACGGAAGTCCTGGAACCGCCACTGCTGTCAAACTGTAAGACAGTCGCGTCTTATATATTATAGTTCCCGCTTATTTCTTTCTATAAAACTTTGTGAGCATTTTTTTCGCCCACTCCTTCACTCCTCCCCTCCCCCTTCTCCGCAAATTGCTTTACCCAAATCCTTACATGGAACTCTCGTGCCAGTCTCGCAGTCATGGACCAGAGGTTTTCGCTTGACGAATGACTCGCGTGGGAGTTTCCGGTGTAGCAACGTCGCTCAATGACCATTGGAATGTGCGTGTGTGTGGTGTTTTTATGGAAATTTCTCGACTACCGTAATCGCGCTGAATGGTCATCGCCGCTTGGCTCGTTGCCAAGGCTTTTATGCTATACGTAGTTAAAGATGAGCCATACGGGGAAATTACGCGAAATTGTAGTGGGGATGCAGACCTCGGCAGTTCTTTGTTCTCTGTGCGTTGTGCTCAAAGGAGAGGGGGGGGAGTGAGGATGTTGTGTGTGTGGGAAAATGTGAGATTGAAGCCTCTGTGTGTGAATGATGGAACGAACGTCGGATGGACGTCGTCAGAGTGTCCGGCACTGGCTACGCGAAAACAACCACGTAATCACTAGTCGCTCGAGCAACTCACTCATGCCTCATACTCCCCCCCCCTCCCATTCTAGTTCCCTAAATAACTCTCTCTCGTTCCGAGCCAGCTCCCACCCCCTACGGCATCGCGGCGGACTCTCCGCGTTTCGCCCGCTATCTACTGGCCCTCGGTGCTGGCCGGTGTGCCCCAGCCGAGAAAAAAACCGCCAGCGGCTGCGCCTGCAACTGAAAAGCAAACAAACACCGACTGGCACCAAAAAGTATCCACACAGAGAACAGAGATCGCTGCGAGCAATGATACGCAGACGAATGGAGAAGCTTGGAAAAAAATCTGAAAGTTGTTGAAGGGGGGGAGGGGGGGGGGGACGATAGATGAGGAATTGTTTGAGTTTGGAGGAATGAAATTACCTTCGGCAAAAATTATTCTTGGCTGTGCCGCTCTGGAAACGGGTTTTTACGTATCTACCATTTACTCCTAGGCATTGTGAAACAGAAAAAAAATGTAAATTTTCTCTTTAGTTGTCAATTACTGAAAACAGAATTTTCACGATGCTGGAAGCTAAAAAAATCAAAAACACTGGAATAAATGAGTTTATAGGGTTGTACCTAATACTTTTGGAATCCAAAAATTTTGCTAATTCACGGTAAGTAAAAGATTCTATTTTTATCAAAGTTTTCGTGTAACGAGTGAGCTAGATGCCCCAAGGTAATACCTGAGGGCAAAAATCAAAACTGGTAAATAAAATTTGTAATGTAGAGTTTTCTGAAAATAAGGGTACGATGACGGAATGATAATTATATTTTCTGGAGTTTGCTAGAAACCTGTAACGATTTGTTTTGCAGTGTTTGCTGATTTTTTAATTTTTAAAAAAATCGAAATTCTACCATTTCTCTACCCTTTTGTACAAAAATTAGTGAAATTCTCTTGCTGCTGATTTTTTGCAAAAATTACTCAAAATGAATCCAAATCTTTATGGTACGAGTGCGCTCAAGTTTGTGAGA